AGGCACCTACCTAAAACCTGCTCCCCCTGCCACAGAAAAAAAGTTTTAAAGATATATATTTATATATTGATTTATGTTTATTAAGTAACTAAATCTTAAAAATAAGGAATTGAGTTAACTATGATATGGACACTTCGACAAAAATTCATCCTAAAGTGTGGGATAGTATACATTGTATAACGCCAATGTAGGACACTCTTAACCCTTCACCCCTTGTAACATTATATAGCAATTGTATAGACCACCATGTTCCAATTTGTATAACAAATCCAAAAATCCACACACAACACAACTTCCAACAGAACAAAAGTTACAACACGTTTAGAATGTTTTTATTAAGTAACTGTTACAGGAATTGTGTTCGTGTGTGTTGTAATTTAAACTATACACGGTTTATGCAAGACTTCGGAAGTGGAGCGTTAAGTAGAAAATAAGCAGCAGAAATTATATTTAAATTTAAATTGATAAAACGAAATTGTTCTATAACACTTATCTTCGCTAATGATAAACCACCCCATCCCTTCATGTTGTATAATATGTGCACATTCACTACAATTACTGACTAATCCCACATAGCGTTCTCTTTTTAAACGTTGTACCAGCAAAATATCTAGTGAGCCTATTAGATTAGAGGCTAGAGGTGAAACGAAGAACGAATCTGAGATCTTTATCAAACTACGAGTTGCGATTTTTTTTTTTTTTTGCTTTCTTTTGAAGTGTCATCTTCCACTCGCTCTAATAGAGGCCCAAGACACGTGTTAATTAATTATGCGCATAAATTAAAAATCTTCACTTCAAAGATACGGTTTGGCATACTGTGTGATTAATAGATTAAAATTGGGTCACATTGAGGACAAAACGTGGACCTAAATCTTGGGTTTGTACATTGTTATGTGTAGTTGTGTTACTTTTGTTATGTGTAGCTTTGTTAATTGTCCTTATTTTGTTATGTGTAGTTTTGTTATTTTGTTATATGTAGCTTTGTTATTTTGTTCTGTATAGTTTTGTTATTTTGTTATGTGAAGTATTATTTTGTTATGTATAGTTTTGTTATTTTGTTATGTGTAGTTCTATTTTGCTATGTATAGTTTTGTTATTTTTTATGTGTAGTTTTGTTATTTTGTTACGTATAGTTTTGTTATTTTGTTATGTGTAGTTTTGTTATTTTGTTATGTGTAATTTTGTTATTTTGTTATTTGTAATTTTGTGATTTTGTTATGTGTAATTTTGTGATTTTGTTAAGTTTATTTTTGTTATGTTATTTTTTTTGGTCTAATGTGTAAGTCTTGTTTTTTTTTTAGTGTTTTGTTGTGTTTTTTTGTGTTACGTGTTTTGTTTTTGTTTTATTGTGTTGGGTGTCGCGTTGCTATCTTGTTGTGTTGTATGTAGTGTTATCATATGTTTGTTATTTCTAGCATCTCTATACTATCATAATTAGCATTATAAGTTATTTTCTTCTTCATTGTTCTTAACTGTAATACTTGAAGGGATTTCATTCAACACAATTAAGTATCACGTGTCAACTTGGTATGCGCCTTTGACTTCCATTTAGCCTGCTTTTCTCTTTGGATTTGCTTCCATAGCCTTTATCCATCCAATAATTAACTACAAGGTAGCAGTTATTTGATTTTAGAGTTTGCTATCTTATATTTATATGAGTAGCTATGAGATAACCGGGTTACGTGAAAGTGAACTTTAATGTAACTTTTCAAACGAGTAAAATATTTTTTTTTCTAAAAACTAAATTACAGGAAGGAGAGAGTGTAATCTTGATAATTTTATTTCACAGAAAAAAAAATAGTTTTTTTTTTTTTTAATCATGCTTGCCAAAATTATATACTCACTAATGTTTTTTTTAATGCGATAAATCAAAAACATATCTCCTACCCTTCACTTGCCCCTCTGATTATATACATAATATTTAAGAATATATATATATATATATATATATATATATATATATATATATATATATATATATATATATATATATATATATATAGGCCTATATATATATATATATATATATATATTAAGAAGTTTTAATTTTAATTTATTTTGTTAATATATTAAGAAAACTCTGTAAAAACTATTTTTAACTGTTATGTCATTTACCATTGTTGATGGGGTAGGCTATGCTAAATATTTATTATTTTTGTTTTGTTTATTTAACTAGCACTTGATTCTTGTTTTTATATCACCTGTTTTACATTCATCAGTTCTGTTATTCACTCTTTCTTTGTTCTTCAAAAAAAAAATTCTTCTCATAGCAGTACTAAACTGAGTACTCGTTCTTTGCTGCTCTATATATTTCTTTTTTTCTTTCATTACCTCCCTTCAATTAATCACTGCCAGTTCTCGCCCCCCTCCCACCCTGCCACACCCCGCCCCCAGCACGCAGATGCTAAGACTTCCCAGCCACAAGCCACACACGGAGACTAAAATTCGAGCTCAATTTTCAGGGGATTACCGCCCCTTTTGGTGAAGGTTTTGGAGATAATTACTTTGAGCGAGTGCACGCGACCACCTGCCTCAACCAATAAGCCTCGAGATTCAAATTAACATGGAATGTGAAAAAAAGAGTTACAATGTCATGATTTATTCACGTGACCTATCTTGTAGCAATCCCCCATTGTAAATATTTTGAAAGCAAGAAAACGATGGTGTTTTAACGTTTCTTAAGGTATTCGTTTTATAAGTTAGCAACCTCTTTGGTCATAAAACGAAATATGTTGAATACATATATACACACTTTTATAGATATTATAATTATATTATTTTATATTATAAAAGAACTAGATAAATTTAGCAACGGGTAACAACGTAGGACCAAAAACCAAATGTCAATGTCAATTTTCGTTAATATGGGGATGTAAAAATTAACATTTTGGCATGCAAATAAAAATTGTTCTGGCAAGCGTAAATAATAATAATAAGGCATAAGGGCCTGTTAAACAAACAACAATTGTAAAGAAACTTTTGTTTAAGGGTAACTCCGAAATATCAACACTTTCAATATGGGTATGAAATTTAGTTTGTAAATTTGCTGTTTATTTGTTTACCACTTAAGCCGACGCCGGTAAGTCCTGGGCAGGCATAGCGCCTTAACGAAAAACCCCTGGCATTGTTACTAACGGTGTTTATTTGACCGTCACATTATGTGGCCAGCGCAGGCATGAGTACTCCCCCAAGCAGACTTGCCACTTTTTATTTTTTGATCTCGCCAAATTGTTTATTCCTGTTTCGTGAAGGCGCAGCAAACTTTGGCATTCTGGGTAAGACGGTAAGGTACCGCTGGGCGCGGAGCGACAGGAAACATGGCTAAATTGAAAAGGTGTGCAGACTCTCCACGGGAAAGAACAATCCAGTTAATGGGGGAATAACTGCCGGATTGTTCCAGGGCACCGAGCTGACCGGAGGGCAAAGTGCTGTAGGATTTTAACCCCGATTTTTTTTTCAGTAGTTCGTAGATGGGCAAAAAAAAAAAAAAAAAATTTGATTTAGTTAGCTCCCTTCAATTAATCACTGCCAGCTCTCGCCCCCCCCCCCCTTTACATCCTTGCGATTTTTAATAGTTGGTCTGTTGTTTTATTTTTTGTTTGTTTTTGCTGTTGTTTTTTTTTTGTTTATGTTTTTTTTTAGTTATTTTTTTTTATATAGACCTAAATCTGTGTTTGAATAAAGAGATTAAATAGATTAAAGTAGCCTAAATAAGGGGTCGTCCATAAATGACGTCACACTCGTAGGGGGAGGGGGGTTCGTAATTTTGTGACGGTGTGTGATGAGGGGGGGGGGGGGTCAGATGGTGTGACGTCACACTTTTGCATTATAAAAAGGCAAGGTTAGAAAACAAATTTTAGACGTTATTTCGCGTTTTAGAAAACTGTTTTAGTAAATTGCAATAGGAATTGATTAAAATACTCAATTTTGACAGAGTTCAGACAAGATTTTAGAAAATATCGATGTTTTAAAAAAAATTCAACTGCAATTTTGAGGGGGGGGGGGGTTAGGCTGAGGTGTGACGTCATTTTAGGAGAGAGGGGGGGTCTGGCTTTTTGTGACGACGTGTGACGGAGGGGAGGGGGGAGGTAAAAATCGTCAAAAAAGCGTGACGTCATTTATGGATGATCCCTAAAATAAATGTCAGAACAAAAACAAATTTACAAATAGAGTTCGTTTTATTACACACAGAAAAAATATAAGTCTTTTTTTTTTCCTTCTTTTTTTTTTTTTTTTTTTTTTTTTTTGGAGAATACCCTTTTTTAAAAAAATATATATTCAACAGTTTAACAACAGGTCTCAACTTTTAAAAATGTGTTCAAAGGATTTTTTAATGTTTGATGAAACAAGCCTTTGAAAACTGTTTGAACTTGTTGCTCATAACATTAACAGGTATGTCTTTGTTGTTAAACAAGGTTACTGTGTAAGGTTGAATACTGAGTAGGAGACCCCAACTTTAAAGGGCCACAAAATGGTGTAATAGCTATATGTAGTCTCTATATAAATAATACTATTATAATAGTCAAATAGACCACAGGTATCTATATTTTTGCCTACGTTTTAATCTACTATGAAATTAAAATAGTATATTATCTGCAGTTAAAACTACAATATCAGCCTCCGATAAATTAAATTAAATTTTGGTTGCTTGTTGTACAAGGTGAAGTAACGTGGCGTGGCCTTAGACCTTATTAGCCTACCCTCACACATATTCTGCATTAAAGCGTTGGAAAAATAATTGATTACGTTTATTGGACATTTGGTTACATTTTTATGTCGCTTTTTTCACACTGATCCGTCAATCCGTAGCACGTTGATTTTTTTTTATCGCTCAACGAGGATTGATTTAATTGGAAGCAGTGTAGGGGAAAGAATACATTGAAATGTTTTTAAAATTATTGTTTACCTCCCTTGCATGATGAATTTATTTTTATTTTTATTGTAATGATTTTGAACTAATAATTCAAATAAATAAAGTAAAACACACAATACATGGCTTATACATTTTAATTCGCATTTTTCTGTTTTCCAGTAGAAGTCTAGCAGACAGTACACAGCTATTTGTAATGAATTCAATATGGCATTTGTGTCAAAATCTTTTTACAAAAAAATACTAGAAATACTAGTCAGATAATAATTCTAATACTTCAAATTAATTTACATTATAAAATATAAACTACTCATGATCATTCCAGCAGCAGATAAAACAAATAATATCCAATTATTACATAGCAACATTTATAAAACAATGAAGGCTTTTTATTAGGCTCTCTTAAAAATTATAGCAATTATAATATAGCCCTATATATATATATATATATAACATTTATAACTACTAAAATGATAATTTTATGACAATTTGGTTTGTCCCACACCTCATAACAAATAGTATTTATAGATTTTTTTACTATATAAATTACATACAATTACATAAATTAGCAATCTTATAACACAAAATTATATCCTAATAGCAGGTTTTTCAGAAGTGGCAAGAGATTGCCGGGTGGATGTTAGTCTTGATGGTCCAGTGGATAGACTCAGTTCAAATGGGTCAGAATCAGCTGTTGAAATTCTGAACCTATCCTCTGATGTGAAGAAATAAAAAACAAAAATGTACTATTAATTGTAATAGCTTACTTTGTGCTTAGATTCTGATTTAATTGGATAATTTTTTAAAATATTAATTTGTGCTCAGATTGTGAATTAATTTGATATTTTTTTTAAATATTAAATTCTTAGTCCTTAATTATTAATATTATCCTAAAAATTGTTGTTGTTTTTTTTAATCAATAAAGTTTACTTGAATAAATGCATCTCTCAGTCCTTTTTTTATTACTCAGTGGTTTAAAATTTCAAAATCTTTTATTTCTGTTATTAGTAAAAAGAATTTCTAGAACATACCAATTAATTTCTGTGACATGGCACTGGTAGCGAGATCTGTCCAACTAGTCCTATACCTGTCACATTGGTATCAATAAATACATGATCAATTAAGTCAACAAGTAGCTTCATTAAAGATTTGCTAATTCATAACTGTTGCTCGAAACCAGAAACACAATTGCTACCACTGTTAAAAAAATGTTTTGTTTTGTAAACAAATTTTCTTAATTATATTAATACATCAACAGAACCCACTTTTTAATAATTTGCTGATAATGGTTATGTCTATGTTGACTCATCAACTCATTGTTTCAAAATTGTTTTAATATGTGTGATAAAAGATTTTTCCATTTATCACTTTTTTTTTATATTTGAAGTATGTTTAAAAAGCTAATATAAAACATAATTCAGAAAAAGTTTTTACTATCGTGCTATAATTCAAAATGTCTACACAAAAACAGAAACTCACTCCTCAAAATTCAGACTCGTGGTCCAGTCTAACAGCTCATCCACCTCCCAGTCCTCCAGGGCATCGATGCCTTGAGATTCTACTGTAGCCATCATGCCGGCTGTGGCATCTTCTATAAGAGTTCTTGTCTCATAGTCCTGGGCTTTAGCTTGTAACATCCCCTGTTTGTATCTTGAAAATATACCACACACTTTGTTCAGTTCAATAGTTAGAGTTTATGAAGCATTACAGGTGTTAAATGTTAGATACCAAAAAAATTCAAACCTTGATGCTAAGTTTATATTTATTTCTAAAAATTATAACTAATAAATACTTATATGAATGTATTGATTGTATTCTTAATTTCAGGTATTTCAGAACATTTATAATTTGACAACAATTCTTTAATAGTGTCCTAGCTTTAAAGCTCAACATAAGTTTTATGATATTTTTATCAAGGGGTTGTCCATCAAGATTTTTTAAAACTATTTTTAACTCATCCCTTCAGTCAGATCCAACTCCCCTCCCCAACATGAAATCACATTTCATTTTAGCCAACCTCTAAATTAAAATAGTTTTTTAAACAGGATATTTAAAAATATTAGGTTAGCTGTGTTAAGATTAATTACATTGAATTATTTTTTATTACAACTTAAATTAAAATCCTTTAAAACTGAATAGCAACTCACAGTTTTTGCATCCATTCTACTTTTTTCTCTTTCTTTTTCCTTTCAACATCTTGTTTTCTTTTCAACTGAGAAAAAAAAACCTCACTATACTTATATAAAACTTTGCTAAAATTAGAAGTAAATCACTTTTAAAGCAGTAATCAAAGATTTAAATTATTTTTAACTTCACTAGTTTCTAAGTTATATAATATAGTCTGTAATTTTAAAAAAGAAAAAATATTCTCCACTGACTCGACTGTGATCAAATTTATATTCTTTTTTTGATGTCTCCAGGGTGATGGGATCATTCATGATGTGGTGTATGAGTCTGTCTGATACAAGCCTCCATCCATTGTTTTCTATTCTCCTATACCAGCCTTCTCTGTCTAAATAAGAAAAAAATGTTGTTTTTTTACATTTTCAAGTGACACCCAGAACCATACACTTTTTCTAACTTAGTCTATCAATCCAGGCTATTGCTATTTCAAACTGATAACATACTAAATGAAACAGAAGGATACATTAATAAATTTTTCTGACAGTAGGTGGTAAAATAGTTTTTCAATACCATTGTCTGTTGGGACCTTGGAAACTCGTACATGGCTGTGGGCGTCTTTAGCTGTTAGCTTTTTGGCCTTGACACTAGTGTAGTCTTTTGGACTATTGGCACATAAATCTTGAATGGGCCGATTGGTGAATATTTTATAATAAATATTGGGTGGAAATCGATCCTGAAATATAAATGTCAGTTGATGTAATCATTTAAACATAACATTAAAATGTGTTTGTATTATTTCATCTGATCTATATGCAAATATAATTATACATATATATAAAATGCTATGAATATACATCAGTTAATAATGTTAAGATTTTGTTAAGTAGCATTAAATGAAATAATTGTATTTAGATTTTTATATTGCTAATATTCATAAGATTATTAGTATAAGGTTGAGAGTTTTTCTTTATTTAAAAAATACCTATTCCTTCCCCCACCCCCAATTTGTAAACAACAGATTCTAAGTTGTAGTTTCCCTTTCAAACCTGAAGGTCTATGGGGCAAGTGAAGTAGAGTTCACTTGTTTCTGTGACCTCGGCATATGAAGAGATAGGATGGTCAGCACTATGCCCAGCCGCCTTCACTTTCCCTAACGTGAGTTAGGTACCCATCAGAGTTGGGTGGACTCAGGGACAGTCTACTGACTTGAACCGGGATTCGAACTCGAGATTCTAAGTTGGTTACACCATACCCCAGCAAGTGGGAAATACCTATTACTTCCCCCTCCCCCAATTTGTAAACACCAGATTCTAAGTTGGCTACACCATACCCCAGCAAGTGGGAAATACCTATTACTTCCCCCTCCCACAATTTGTAAACACCAGATTCTAAGCTGGTTACACCATACCCCGGCAAGTCGGAATCGCACATTAATTCCTGCAGCCGCATCCAACAGCTTGGCTTCTGTGGGATTTATACATCTCAGCATTATGCTTGGGTTCCCTCTTGCTTTGAAGTTGATGAGCTCTTTGTAATACTTGTAAACTTGCATGTCCTGTATTTTTAAATTAACGTTTTCATTTACATATCGCAACTATGAAATGTTTTACTCTGCTTTAAATATTATTTTTAAAACTATTTTATATTTTATTGAATAACCTTTACAGTAAGCATAAAAGGAATCAAAAACAATTAATTATTATCTTGGTGATTTTTTTGTAACTATTGTTGAGTAAGCATATGAGTCAGGAAACTTACTATATGCCTTCTCCAGGCTCTCTGTATAATAATAGCTGCATCTTCGTCACTGTGAATTTTGGATCTTAAACCAATCATATGTTCTCGATAGGTATCGCTTTCAGAGTATTCTTCATAACCTTCAATTCTAACCTCATGGTTTGGTTCTTTTGGTTTTAAATGTTGTGGGCGCCAATGCTGAGCAAGTTGTGAAGCAAAATCTTTAAATCTGATAACAGAACAAAAAAAAAGAGATCTTTAAAATCTTTATAATACATTGTAAAAATTTCAACTAATTGATTTCATGGTTAATTCATATCAATTTTAATATAGATGTTCCTTAAATGAAACAAAAACTGCACAGAAAAAATTTGTTGCTTTTGTAAAACAAATTATGCAATGTTAACATAGGCCCACTTACGATGCAATGCTTGTTCTGGGAACATTTAATGCAACTTGTTCTGCAACAAATTCATTGTAAAGGTGCTCTAACTGCAGTTTTGCCAGTGGATTCTGTGTAGGTATAAATAAATATTACATAAAATGAAATAGAAATACTTAAAAACACATAATAGATCAATAAATTGAAATCCAGTAATTAATCAAACAATATGAATTATTTTTATATGACAATTGTTTTTGTTTTTTTTACCAATAACAATTTTAATCATTTCATTTGGATAGAAAATACTATGTTTTAAAATGTATCCTAAAGTTGTATCTATTTATTTCAGTAGCCTAATTTTACACAATGATATATGTTATATATAAAGTAACAAAATGGCATAAACTACATTATACGTTACATAGTATTTCTATATATTGTATATACATTATACAGTCCCATCTCTGGTAATCTAGTATTATTCTTGTTTTTTTTTAAACTGTTTGCTACACATGGCACTATTAAGTAAAAATTATTAAAATGAAATACAATTCATAGTATAGCAATTATTATTATATCAATTTTATTAATTATGATTTCTTACTTCATCCATTATAAGTTTGCCTTATGTCTCAGGATAATTAACTGATCCAAGTACTCTCACTCTCGGCAGTTGACTTAGAATTATTTATACACTAAAAAAGTAGATCTTGTGCCCACTTGATGAAAAATGAAATAGTTAAAACACATAAAGTTGATTGATAAAGTAAAGTTTAAGTAATGTTTATGACACAATCAATATCATGATAATAATAATAATTTAAATTAATTTTATAATTTATCACTAAACTAAAACTAATGACTATGACTCATGATGACAGTAGTCAGAATGACAGTCAATGACACCTATTAAATATAATATATAATTAAGTTATTAATAATATAAAATGGTACACCATTGTTGCTAACCTAAACATCTTTTAAATATAATCTCCATTATTAGTTTAGTTTTAGCAGTTGAAAAATTAATTTAGTTTTTCAAATCGTTAAACTTCAATCAACGACAACGCGCTTACCAACTTGTTGATTTTTTAATAAAAACAAAATTTACAATCCGTCGAGTGCTCATAATTTTTAAATTGTAGTTAATAGGCCCTACAGTTTTTCTAAAATCGCTTATTTAAATTTAGGTCAACTTTGATCTACATTAAACTTGATATACGACACAGTTAGGAAAAGCTATTTTTATTCAAAAATAAACAAAACATTTATCGCCCTTGTCATTAAGTGGCGCTGATCAGTTAACAACAAAAGCGGCACATGGCAACGACCCCGAGTCTGTATAAACCAAGTTAAGAGATTATCATGGCAGGATTAAGAGCAACGATGTCAAACGAGTGCCTAAATTCAAGCAAATGATACTTGTGTGTTTGTAACGTTATAACTGTAGGTGTAAAATTACTATTTAGTAATAGGATATATTTTTGTTTATCGTGTGTATTTAGTATTTTCTTTAGTTAGGCCTAGTACTAGATCTAATATTTAAATAATTAGGTAATCTATCGTTTTGGGTACGTAAAATCGCCCGCGGCTATTTATGTACGAAAACGTTACCTCATTGTCAAGGCTTTAATAGAAGTATATTGTCATACTTTTGTGTCAAATATTATAGATAAATGAATAATAAACCTAAATCAATGGCTAAATATATCGATATAGGCCAGAAATTAACTTTAAACAGCAGTGTCTGAGAGCAAGATTTGCTATATATAAACAGCAGCCATTTGTAAAATAGAGTGGCTTCCCCCTGAATCTGGCGCTAAAAGCTTATAAAAATAAAACTTAGACAAGATGGCTGCTATAGTAGATGAGCATGGTTGCATCTGTTGGAAACATCGCTAGTCTTCATTTATTACGGAATAGTTTTAATTCAATTGTGTAAAAACAGGTACATAAATGAATCAAGGAAACATTTTTGAATTTTTTAAAACATAAATCCTCCTCAAAATGTGAAATAATTATTAAAACTTAAGGAGTCACCTGTTTTTCACATTACAAATCGCGGGCGATTTTACGTACCCAAAACGATAGATTACCAATAATTAATACTTAATACACTTAATAGTTAATAGTTAATAGCCTAATAATTATTAATTATTATTAATTGAAAAATTAATAGCATTACCAGTAAGTAACTATAACTAACTTTAACTAGATCTAGATCTAGGTACTTAGATCTAGAGTCTAGATCTTAATTGCATATGAAGCCTGCCTTATCATAAGGCAAGGGATTAAAATTTAAAATGATTAAAATAATGTTGTTGAATATTGTTAGCCTATATTAAACTATAATATAATTTATATTACAGTTAGTTATATAAAAAAAAATATTTAAATGTATTTAAAGTATTTATTTATTAGTTCTAGAGACCTAATTAATTTAATTATTATGTAGGATTAAATTAATTTTAAATCATTATCAACCAAATTATTAGATTACTAGATTTTATAACTTGATTGGTTGGCAGCTCTTCATTTTCAGTTAAAATTATTTATTTTTAATTGTTTTAATTAGGCTTAAATCTTGTTTAGTAAATATTTTGATTAACATTGCAGGTATATTACTTTTATTTATTAAACAGTTCTATTTTAGCATCATTTAACAAATGCAAACTTTGTAGTTGCAGCACTGAAATGGCAACAGGAGTTGTAGGCTTTTCTCCTGAAAGCCAAGGAATCCAGTTCACAGCTAGACCAGCACTTCGCACCAGAGATGCAATTGGTCCTCGGTCCTTATCACGGGCTAGTGGATCATCATTAGCCTCTAATTCTGGTAGATAAGTTTTCATTAATTATTTTTAAAAAGTATTTCACAGTCTTTCTGTGATATTTTTATAGTAGGTACATGGTGATTAGCCGTACACATGTTTTGTTATAGATTGCACTATATATATATAAGTAAAACCTATTCACCAATCATGAACCTGATCCTTCAACTTAACCAGAACATACAACCCAAAAAACTATTAACACAGCCTTACAGATTAAAAGTTTTATTGTCTGTTATGTCAGTAAAATGAATATGCTGCTGTTATAAAATTAAAGAGTTATATAAGAACATCTGTAAATATACAAATACTCATCTGTTATCTGGTACAGTGTTTTATAAATAAGGTAAATATACTATAAGCCTACTTAGCTCCTACCCTTAAGTTCTCCTGCACTGTGGTACAGAAGCCATTTTTTAATGAACCCAAATTAATTTAACTTTACAGGTTTTTTTCCGGGTGGGGATGGTGGTGAACTGAGCCGTTTGTCTACACAAAAATTAACAAGCATCGAAGTAGAAGCAGCTTTAAGAGGAAAAGTTCAAAAAAAGTTTGAAAGCCTCAAACAAGTAATTTTTAGCATTTCATCTTATTCATAATTTTAAAATTAAGTGGGCCAATGGGTCTAAGAAGTATTTGATTACTTCCCTTTCATATATTTATATTTAAGTTGTGTGAATTAAATGGTAAAAACAATTGCTATTCAGGCCTTCAGAATTTATGATGTTGATGAAAATGAGACAGTCACTAAGGGAGAATTTCGGAGAGTATTAGAGACATACTGCATGCCTTTAACCTCTGAACAATTTGATTCTATTGTTGCCAAGGTAGGTAACTTGAACATAAATAACATTAGCATATTCTCTATTAAAATAGAAACACAATTATAAATATGTTTTTGTTTCTTAATTAACTCCCTCAAATATTTTATTTATAAGTTGAGAAGTGCACATGGAGGGACAACCATTAAATATTTGGATTTCCTTACCAAGTTCTCTGGTTATGATGCTGGTAACAAAAACAGAGATTCAAGGTAAAAACAAAATTTCACTATTAAGTTTTTTATTTCATTTCTTTTTCAATCTATTTTTTTTTAAAAGATTGATAGTAATGAAAGTGAGATTACAAAAGGAATTAGGATAAACTGGCAAATTGCTGAACCAAATAACTTGTTATACAACTTCAGGGACTTTGATACAAAACACAGATTTTGATTTCTATGTTTAGATTTTTCTTTTATTTCCAGGAGAGTGATTGCTTTATGGTTTTCTTTACTCTTTCAATATATAGATCTAGTCAATCTGATCCAAAAGAAATCAACATGGATATGATAGAAAAACTTTTAAGAGATAAGGTTAGTGAAATGGAGATTTTAATTTGGCAATTCCAGTGATTTAGTTTTCTCAGGGATTGAGGGATTTTTACCTTTTTTTTTTACAGATTAATACAAATCTACGTTCAGTAGTCAAAGGCCTTCAGTTGTTAGATTTTAACATGGATGGGAAAATTCAGCGGCATGAGTTGCGCAGAGTTCTGGAAAATTGTTGTTTTAGATTTACAGACCAACAGTTTGAAAAGTAAATATTTCATTATTTATAAATGTAGATTTTGTTAATATTATTGGATTAAACACACAAACACACACTTACATACAAAAATATATAAACTCTTAGATATATTTATGAGATCCCTCAGAATTAATTTTTTTTTTTTTTTTAATTTTAATTTTTCTATGCTGGTGCCTAGGCCTTAGCCTAATAATTGAAATTTGAATTGGTTGACTTAACTGATTTTTTTTTCTGCTTAGGTTGTGGCAAAGATATGACTATCACCACACAGGTCTAATCAACTACCGTGATTTTCTCCAGAAACTTGGTATAAATGTAAAGAATGGCAATGCTGTGCCGTCATCCAATACAGTAGCAGGAGGTAATATTGTTTCATACAATTTTTTCAAGATAGTTTTTGTTAACACACCTTTCATTGCTGGGGAGCCAATTTGTAAATCTGATATCTTAAGATTGGATTTAGAGCATCTGAAGTCTTTTTAAAATTCAAATATGCATCATTCAAGGGAATGTTATTTATTATTTAAAATTTAAGAACTGAGCTATAATGAAAACAAACTGAATGACTGATTTTTCCTTTTATTTTAACAGAAGAAAAAAAACATAACACTAATAATAATATAATAAGAATTTTTCTGTTAAATTTAAATGCATTTACAATTTCCAATGTAAAAATGTAAATTACTAGAACCACATTTGTTCATTCAAAAATCTCTATAAATCTATGGCTCAACAGATTACTAATAAATGCCTAGGAATAATACTTGAGTATTATAAGCTCTTGTAAATAATTTCCTACTTTTTAAAATTCTGGTCTAATTTTCTTTTACAATCTTTTTATAATTATAGTTCTGAAATGGCCTAAAGTTACTACACCACATAAAGGAGCCAGTGAGCAGCTCAAATCTCAACAAAAGGAGGATGAGAAACTGATTCGCTCTTTGACGTTTGATCAGATTGAAATCGAATTCAGAAATAGGGTAATAAAAGCTAGAACTAAAACATTAAATACAATAATTAAGAAGTTTTCAAAATATTCATTAAATATTAATTTGATACTTGAGTCCCAGCCCTATAGAATTTCTTTTAAATAATATAAGAAATTTATAATCAAAAACTAAATAAAATCTGTTCTATGTTGCTTTATGTTGTATTTGGAGAAACTATGTGATGTAAATGCATAGGCCTACAACTAAACACTTAAGTGACTGAAAATGAAAAATAAAAAAAAATAAAAAAGAAAGACTACTAAGTATCATAACAAATTCTAAAATGTTTTTCATAAACTGAATGCATTAGCTTTAATAGGTTTTCATTTCTATGTTTAAGTCAAACTGCAAACAGTTATAAAGTCAGGTCCAATGTTTTACTATTTATATTTTAATACAAGTGATTTACTCCACAGATGAGATCCAACTATGCAAAATTAAAGAAAGCCTTCATGACATTTGACAAACACTTGGATGGCTATGTATCCATAGAAGATTTGAAGTCCATCTTAAATAGTTTTACTATTCCTATGAATGACCAGTTGTTTGTACAGTTGATGGACAGGTGTGTTAATTGTTCCTGAGTCAGATTTTGTTTTCAACTTTTAAAATGCTTGGCACTTAGTAGTCTTGTATTTGAATAAACTAATGGATGTTTTTATTTTGTTGACATTTCTCTTTTCTCTATAGGTGTGGTATTAAAGCCAGTGGAAGAGTTTCATGGGAGATCTTCTTAGAAAAATTTCAGAACCCAATCACAGTGGGGAATGGCCAGTCCTTACCCATCAGGCCAAACTACAAGTACAGTATAAATCTAATTTTTCTAATATTAACCATCTACAATTATGAACAATGTGCTTTAATGTGATAAATTTTATTAATCCTTTAACTAATACGGTTTTTTTAAAAAGAATTCATCCTATAATGGAGACTCAAAAAGTGGTTGACTGGGACACCATATGGAGTCAGTTATACAAAAGAGTTCAGTCTCACTACAACAGTTTTAAGGAAGCATTTTTACAGATGGACAAGGTAGGCAATGTTGTGAAGTCTTAAATTGTATTTATCCTGTAATAAAAATTCATCGGAATTTTTATGTGTTGTAGATATTTTATCATATGTTATTGTTGTGTTGGTAATGTATGTATATCTCATTAAAATATTATTTTCAGAAGTATTGATGTGACATGGATTTTTTTAATTAGATGATGTTGTTGTGTTGTTAATTTGTATTAGATTGTAAAGTGTTTGTGGGTAGACCTGTATAAAAGAAGTTTTTTTGTTTTCAATTGAGATAATAAGTCAAATTTCAGTGAGGTATATAAGTCTATTGAAAAGGTGGCAAAGCAGTTATAAAAGTATAGTTAACAGTTTAGTTTGTTTGGTTAGAATGTCGTTGTTTGTTAGGTATACTATCAGTTATGTACATTAAATAGAAGCATGCTATTTATACATCTTTGTGTTTGGATAATCCACGTTATAAGTCTTTGTTGTTGTGCTTAGATAATCCTCTTATTGTGGGCATATCTTCTATTACAATCAGACCAACCTTGATCTTTGTGTCACTGGTTATACTTTGCTGTCACCCTTATACACCTCTTTATTGAAACATGTTTTATTTTTAGTTTAGCTTTTAACATTAATTTCCCCAATATTTTATTGTGTCTTGTCAGACAATTTTTCAAATTTGATTTGTAAACATTGTAGAATAGAGATGGCAAGGTCACAAGAAAAGAGTTTAGAGAACTTGTAGAGAAATTTACATTTCGGCTGGATGACAAGCAATTTAAAGCACTTATGTCACGCATTGATCCAGAACACACAAATAGCATTGACTACCATACATTCCTTAGACTGTTTGAAGAGAAAGAAACAAAGGTAGGAGTTTTCAAATGAAATATTAAAATAAACATTTTTTCCCTTAAGTAATTTTTCTTAGGTAATTTGGTCTATATTATATCATTAATGTTATTTATTTTAAAATTTATTACATTTTGAAATTTTTATAATCTTTTTATTGAATTATCATTTATGTTTATGGTTGTTTTTCTTTTGATGTTCCTTTGTTTATTATTATGATATATTCTGTGTGATACAGGAAGGTCACAAATGGTTGAAGTCTGTCCACAGATACAATTCTAAACCTAAACCAGCAATACTAGCTTGGGAAACAGTAAGTTTCATTTTTCTCAAATTCAAGCATTTTTTGTCATATATCTTGTCAAGCTTTTTTTTTTGTTGTGTAGATTAATACTAAAAGTTTTAAAGTTAAACTCTCTAAAATCCTGCATTAGGTTGAAGATCTGCTGAGAGAAAAAATTACCTATTACTGGAAAGATGTTTCTGATTGGCTGACATATCATGATCGTAGAGGTCAAGGCTACTTGTCCAAGAGCACACTCAAGAAAATTCTTGATATGCAGGTTTTACCAATATCTGATGATCATTTTGAAAAGTAATTTTTTTCCCATTTATTTTAATAAAACATGAAAGCAAACTTAATTTTGATTGTTAAAGTTTTTATTTTTACAATAGATTTAGGCTAATGGTCTATATATTTAACAAGAAAAAACATTAACTTAATTTAAAGTATAATTACTGGATTTTTATAAAAATATTTAATGAATTTTTTTTTTTATATCTAGCTTGATAAGCAGGTGTACAAATTTCAAAGATGGAAAAGTGAGTTACATGGAATTTTTAAACCAACTTGGTGTAGATGTGTCACCAGGAGATGTTGCAGGACTAAGCACACAAATCACAGATGGGAGCAAAAATGCCGAAATATTGAGAAACATTGATCTCATGAACAGGTACAATCAAATTTAATTAATCATTACTTTTTAAAAATTGTATGTGGTCAATTTTATTTTTAAAAAACAAAATTTTTGTTTAATTTCAAGTGTATGCAGGGAAATGTTTAGAATCAAAAGGTAAATAAACACTCTTTTTCTAGGCATGATCAAATGGCATTGTCACAGTGTTACAGAACAAGTCAGATGAGTGCTGATGAGGTCATATCAAGATTTAAAGACAAAATGGCACAGTGGTCTCCAGCTCTTCGTAAAGTGTTTACTTCTTGTGATAAGCAGAATAAAGGACATATATCTAAGAAAGAATTTAGAATGGTTTGTTCTATTCCTTTTTACACAATATATTTTTTTGCTCTACAAATATTTCTCCTTAAGCCTGGTTGAAAGTGTATATATTTATAGAAAGTTTTGCATAGGTTTTATGTGTTAGTCTATAGAAAAGTTGGTCAATGATTTTCTAAATTTTGTAACTTCAAAACTCGCTTTTTAAAAAAATTTGTCATTGTGAATTATTCTTTACATTCCCTTCATCATTATGTAATAGGGTATAGCTAATCAAATATTGTCATTTTAAAGATTATTGCAGTGATTTTATCTAAGTTATGACTTATTGATGCACTGGTTTGACTTGGTAAACTTTGTTTCAGATCCTTTCTGATTTAGGTATTTTGATGTCAGATGAGCAGTTCTCTGAGCTCATGCTCAAGCTGAACATGCACAATGGCCACATGAACTACATGGATTTCATCCTAAACTTTGGTGACCCTCGTCACCCAGATTCATCACCTGGTGTTGTGGAACATCTCAAAAATCACAGGGTCAACCCAATCAGAGGGGACGAATATGGGATGTCAGTTACAGAAGTGGAGACCAAGTTACAGCAGAAACTAAGAGAAAATTTCACTGTGCGTATAGAAAACTTTTAATATTTTTATTGCATTTATAAAAATAATTTATGATTTAAATTTTAATAAACTATTTTTAATGAGATATAAAATACTTGAATATAATTAGGTTTTAAAATTTTTCCAGAACTTAAGGGAAGCATTTTACAAATTTGATGATCTACATAGAGGATGCCTTGATAAATCAAGCTTCAGGCGAATGCTGGATTCTTTCATGATTATAACATCTGATGCAGAATATGAGAAGCTTTGTCAAAGGCTGGGCATAAGCAAAGATAGTCGGATTAGCTATGTGGAGTTCCTTGAGAGGTTTGAGCTGAAAGATAAACCAGAGGGTCACAAGTGGTTGAATTCTGTGCACAGGTATGTTTTGAGTTGGCTGTTGAGTTCATGTTGACAGTTTTAGAGTCAATACCAGGACATGATTAAAGTTTTTAAGAAATGTATCCAGATTTGTCTTTCTGAAATCTGTTACATCTTTAATCATTTTTTATGTTTACTGATCTCTTAAGATTATCCTAAAACTTTAGTGCATAAGAACATGTTTTGTTGTAATACTTTTTATATAAATTAAGGATGGTGAAACTAAACATTAATTTTGTCATCATTGCTTTCAAAACCTGGACAGATTCAATGAAACTTTGGTACCCAAACCATTTTCTGCAACAGAAGCACACAAAGTTCTAGCTCAAAAAGTATTTAGGCAATGGAATGATCTTTCAAAGGTGAGTTAGCCAAAATAGCTATTCTATATTTTTACAACAAATCTGAGAAGTAGTTGCCTAAGGTTGGTTTAAAATAAACATTAAAATGGTTACGAAAAAAAATACAGATACTGTTGCAATGTGATAATAAAATATCCCGAATAACTTAGAAATGGACACCTTCAGTATTAAATTTTATTCCAAGTTAAGAGAAATATTGATTAAGCTAAAATTTATAATCAATAATTTTCATTAAAATAAATGTGATGTTTATCTGTAAACAGGCTTTTCGCTCCATAGACAGTAAGGGCAATGGAATTATTACAAAACAGGAGCTGAGAGAGACACTAAATAAATTTGTCATGCCCATGCAGAAGGAAGAATTCAAAAATTTATGGAAGAGGTAAGGTAATTAGTAAAAAAAAAATTTAATGTTAGCTGCAGATGTTTGGTTGTGAAAATTGTCTTTTTTTAATGTTATTATTAAGTATTATAGTATTAAAATAGAAAATTAATATAGGCTGCAAAAGACACAGGATTGATACATGTGTTATATTGAAAATTTAAGTAAAGGCCTACCAGGTTTGATGATTTCTTTTTATTGAACTCACTTTTAGACTAGACGCTGATATGAAAGGTTATATCTCACATCAAGACTTTTTAGAAAAGCTGGGAACAGCAGAGTTTGCAACTGCTGATAATGGTCCTAGCAGTAATATCATTTCTGGAAATCGGCAGTATATGGAAGAACATCAGCGACAACAGCAAGAGAAACATGAAAATATTACTTGGAATCAAGCCAATCTGACAATGAACATGCCTGCAGTGATTGTTGAAAGGCAATTAAGGTAGTTTGCTGAATATTACAGACTACCTTTTAAAAAAATTAAAATTAATTGAAAAAAACTTTTTTTAAGTATTAACTGATAAATCTTTCTAACCTATCATTAAGATAGCAACCTTTAAAAACTATTGTTTCGTTTCGTAGGGATAAAATTCGTGACAGCTACTCAGATTTCTACAGTGCATTTCGTAAGTATGACACTCAGAAGTGTGGATCCCTCTCTGCTAATGATATTCAAAGAGTTTTGAATGATCAGCATTTTTTTATCAGCGACGAACAGTTCTTTGCCCTGTTGAACAGGTAACTATGTACTATTTATTATAAAGTTTATTTTTTTTACAATGGTAAACTTTCACTTAAGTATGATTAGTGTTTCTAAATTATGCAATAAATTCCAAATTTAACCCCTTCCCATAAAAATATTTTAATGTACATGCTATCAATCACTTTTTTAGAATTGGCCTAACAACATCCCAAAGCCGCATCAATTATGCTGATTTCCTAAATGCTTTTGAAGATGGTAGAAAGTCAAGCTATGGGCAACAACCCCAGGATATTAAAATTGAGGAATATCGCAAATTGAGCCCAGAACAGGCTGAAAAACGTTTGAAGCAAAAATTACAAGCAAACATTGATGATGTCACTAAGGTTTGAATACTATCTTAATCCACTTAAAATAACTCAGCATTACTTTCCAGATATTTCTTTCAGTTTAACATTGTTGGTACATTTTTTTCAGGCTTTTGCAGCTTTTGATAAAGACAGCTGTGGGAAAATATCTGTCGAAGACTTCCATCGTATTCTGGATTTGTTTTGTTTTGTGATGACTGAGCCACAGTGGAAACACATCAAAGCTGGACTCACTATTGGAGCAGATCAGTGTGTCAGCTATAATACTTTTTTGTCAGCATTTGCTTCAAATGATGTGAGTTGAATTATAGTATAGGCCCTATTTTAAACTAAAAATTCTTTTTGTCTTTTAAAATATCAATTTGATATCCTAAGACAAACATATTACAACATGTATTTTTACAAAGCACCCTTTCAACATCATTCAAAAAGTCAATAATTTATATTATTTAAAACATTCCTTTATGCATCTACTTAATTTAGCAATAGATTATTGTTTAGAAATCAGCTGTTTACATAAGCCCTGTGGCTATTTGTATCAGTTGGGCTCAAAAATCAAAATGATTAGAAGAAAACTATTATTAGACCTCAAACAATAATTATGTTAGTTATTAATTGCTGATGTTAACTTTGAATCATGCTTTACATTAAAAAAACTGTTACAAACTAGGAATACAGAAAACTTCTTAGGAAGTTACACATTACTGTTCATGCTGATTAAGTGTTAGCAATGTTTATTACTGATTGTTTAAATACATATATAATAATTGTATACAAATATTTATTTTACTTATAGAAATTTATGAACACAGTCTTTTAATCCTGTTTTAAAATGTTCATACTCAGGCTGACATCAATGACCAGTATTTACAATCTCTACAAGCTACATTCCCACTTAGTTCATCTCCCTTGATCAAATCAGATGAAGTTGTCCAGAGGATTCATGAGGCTGTAGTTTCACATTACCACAATATACTTAGAGACTTTGAGAGTACAGACTTTGCAAAAATTGGTTCAGTCACACAGGAAGACTTGAGAGAGGTTATAGCAAGAAACATAATGAGACTGAATGATGAACAGGTAACTGAAATTATTAAAAAAAAAAAGAAAATCTTTATATGAAAAGAAACTAGTGGGTGGTACTAAAAATAAATTGGCCAAGAAACTAAAATTTGAAGCAACATGATAGTAGCCATTTATTTTTGTCATTTTTACAAATAGCATTAAATAGGAAACAAATATTGCCTAATTAAAATCTGTAATGCTATATTTTTATGGTCTTTTAGATTCACCTTATGAAACAATACTGATATTCAATCCTTTTTCACAAGCCAACATTACTTATTGCATGCATCAATAGGGCTGGTAAGTAGGTCACCAACCAGCTCTACAGCTCAATAAAACCTGCATGAGCCATAGAACTGGTTGGTTACCTACTTACCAGCCCTATTACATACATAATATGTAACTGTTCAGATAAGTGCAATAATTGACCAAATTTTATGCCTCAAACAGTTTAACAGGCTGTGTGAGATAAGTCCTGTAAATGAGTATGGCAATGTTGACTACAAGGAATTCATGAGGTTGTTTTTTGAAGGGATGCCCAATACGACAGACCCAAATCAACTGCCACCAATCAAATCGACAAATCAAAAATTTAATTTTGATCAAAATAGACCATCAACTTCGATGTCACAGCGACCGTATTCTCGGGTTAGTAAAAAAAATTTTTGTGCAATTCTTTGCAACAAAAATAGATTTTACAAATAATTTATTTATGTTTGGTTATTTTTTAGGCTAGCAATCGTCCATTCTCAAGATTAACTCGAAGTGTTAGTTCAAGATCCGGATTTAGATCTGCAACACCTTTGGTGAATGCTGAATCTGCAGAATTTCAAATAAAGGATGTAGTGTTCCGTAACTGGCATGAGATGCAAAAAAGATGTAGAGAAATGGACATCAGCAATTCAGGGTCAATAAGTGTGGATCAATTTGAAAGTGAGTTTATTTCTTTATAAAAAGTCATTGATCTATTAGATTTAAATTACCAATTTTAAATGTTAAATCTTCCCCATCATTGTAATTTATAATATATACATTGTTTATTGCTATTATGAATATAGTTCCCAGCAACACTGTTTTTAACTTCAAACTAAAGAAGATACTTCAACGTCTTTAAAATTGGTAACCTAATGTAAACATTTGTTTTCAAATATTCAGACCTTTTGGGCCAGTATGGAGTTTACCTTGACCCCCAAGAATTCAGCAACTTGGTGACCAAATATGATTTGAATGAAAATGGAAGATTCTGCTACAGTGACTTTATCAGACACTTCCTTCTGACTGTAAAATCTACAGGATCAAAAGTAATGTCCAACAGAGAAAAAATGCCAGCTAGGCAATTACATGTAAGAATTTTTTTTTTAATTTAAAAGATGTTAAAATTTTGGGGAGCTGGCTCTCAGTCTTTGTCAGCCAAACCAAATCATAGCACAAAGTACTTTTAATTTACCAAAATATTTTACCTATTTCACTATGCTCTTACTTATTGTCACAAAAAAGCCAATCTCCTTTGCCTTATGATTTTTCTTTAATTTCAGAAGCAAAACTCTGCTATTGAAGAAGAGGATGATTCTGATGATGTCATCAGACGAACAAGAGAATGTATTGGTCAAAACTGGAAAAAAATGAGACGTGAATTCCAAAATGTTGACACAAAGAATCAAGGTACTGTGTCCAGTGATGAGTTTAGACGAGTACTGAAGCAGTTTAATATCAATGTATCAGAAATGGAGTTTCAGCAGCTTCAAGAAAAATATGAAAAGGATTATGAGTTAGTCAACTACAATGATTTCTTAAAAGATCACCTAATATGAATTAGGTCATCCAAGAAACTGCTCATCGTACAAGAAATCAGATAAATTTATGTAAACTGAAAATAAACATTTAGAATATTAGCAGATTGAAAATGCACTAAAATTAAGTAAAACAGAAGTTTCTTTCTTTAGATATAATAAAAGCGTATTGAAAGATTGATTTTTTAGTGCATTTAAAAGCTTGATATAATCATTAATTTTATACTTGTTTATTCAAAGAGATACAAGTCAATCTTATCTTTTGAAAAAGATTAAGATTCCTCTTTAGCCTTAGCAATTCATTGGGCAGATGAAGTAGGGTTCATATGTTTCTTGACCTCATCATATGAAAGGATAATGTCATCAGCACTATATCAAGCCGCCTCTACTTTCCCTAAAACAATTACTACGATTTTTGTTCAGTCATCTAAAATTAATTCAACACACAAAAAATATTTGCTATCAACCCAATTAGTAGCTTGCAATATATTATAATGCTAGATGAGTATAACCTTCCTTTATTTTAGCATTTGCACCTCAACTGTAAGAGATTTAAAAACTGCATTCATTTAACACCACTTGACTATCAAGCGATCTCTACCACCTAGTTCTCTCACCATTCATTGTATATAGGAATCTTTAAACTAATTTAATACCAAATTAGATTAAAGATTAGATTTTATTTAGATGTCCTATGTGATGCATTTATATGCAAAATTTGATAAAAATCACAACAGTAGAAAATGTTCAAAATTAAGTTAACTTACAGATGTGAAAAAAAAAATAGCCTTTCAATTTTCATTGTTGCCATATTGTGTTAATATTAAGTTTTTTCTTGCACTTTAAAATTAAACCACTTCAAGCACACATTGAAAATGTAATCAACTTCTATTGGTTAAGTCAAATGTTGAAAAAAATTAAGTTTTTAGCTTTACCTTCAACAATTTGTTAAGGATATTTGTGCATGATTTAATAATGCTTCCAGAGTAAATCTGTCTCAGTGTTGATTTACTAACACATTTAAGCTAGACTTAATTTTCAGCATTAGACAATAATTTAATCAGTATTAATTTTATTTGTATTGTACAGTATTACCAATTTATTAATCCACTGATGTTCATATTTAGAATGTTTTTACCAAGGACTATAACATTTTTTTCAATCATCACTGCTGATATTTTGCATTCATGTATAAATCAAATATATGTACTGTTTTTGGTGAATTTTCTTAATAAATCTAGTACTAGCTAAACAACAGTGTCTAGTTTTAACTATTAAAAATTTGTATTATTCATACTTTACTAATTTAATGAACACCCTCTTTCATTTTAATTAAACCTGATCAGTTGCTTGCAATGTGCTATTCACTGTCTAGTTGGTTCTTCGTCCTACCTTAGCAATCCCTACAATCTCTTGTTTGTTCCCAACTCAGCCAAATTCTTTTCAGCATTATTTTCTGAATTTTTCCTCTGCTTGTTTATTCCAGGGGTTACACTCAAAGGCATTTTTTCTGAGTGGGTCCCCTCCTAGCCACTAGTAGTACTAGTACCTTTTTCCTTTGTATTGCTCTCTATCATCCAAATGGCAGTTGTTTTCTACTTTAGTCACACAATCATCATTTCTGCTTGTGGCCAAGACACACAGGGCAGATGAAGTAGAGTTCATCTGCTTCAGAGGTCTTGGCACATTAAGGGATAGTGTGGTCAGCACTATTCCCAGCTACATGTTTCCCTAACATAAGTTAGGTACCCATCAGAGCTGGGTGGACTCAAGGTTCATACAATCCCCAGGCAGTTATATAAATTCATTTTGTATCTATTTTTTAAAGGTGTAAATTTCCATGCTGGTCTACCATGATCAGTGTTCTGTAAGGCCATTTTCCATTTACTGAAATGAGGTAATTTCATGTTGTACTAATGTCTATTATTTATTTTGTTTATGCATTCCAATTACTTTGTTACTATTTCCTTTTTTATGCTTAATACTTTCTCATGTACCCACAATGTTAAGAAACTACACCGTTGTGAATACTTTGCAGGTCGTTGGCTAGTACATACTTCAAATCAGATTGCTATTATGACCAAACCTGGATTTACTATCTTTTCATTAACTGACGTATTGAATTATTCCTATTTAATTATTTTAGCAAAAACATTTGTATTATCAAATTGCAAGAACTTGTGCTACTTATTGTGGCAGAAAATCAGCCATTGATTGCTGGTCTTTAATTTCAAATCAAGAATAACAACGAACAAAAAATACCATGTATTGAAAGTACTTTATTTTCAACTGTTCACATATTTCTTTAACTATCAGTCTTGTTTACTGAGTCTTAGCAGCTATCCTCCTGTCTCTCTCTTCAGCAATAGTCAGCTTCACACCCTTTCCTCTTGGGAGTGAGATCCAGGGTTTGTTGCCTTTTCCAATGACAAACACATAGGACAACCTGAAATAAAGTACAAAAATTATATATATAAAATAGCCAGCATAGTTTGATGGGCAAACACACAACTACTTGAGTGAAAGTTTTAGTCCTAGTTCTTGAGTAAACCCAGCTCAAATGGAAACCTGACTTAGGTTAAGTAAAGGAGGCTGGGAAGTGATGACCACACTATTGTACCCATTTAGGACACAAAATATAAGTGAGAATCTGTAAGTAGGTCACCAGGACTGAAGAGTAACTATACACTTAATTATTTTACCTAGTAGCAAAAGTGTGTCCAAGAGCATCCTTAATGTGCACAATGTCGAAGGAACCTGGATGTCTCTCTCTGTGGGTGATGGTTCCAACACGTCCCAAGTTATGTCCACCAGTGATCATCACAAGATTGCCTGGTTTTCAATAAAAATAGGATCATTAGGAAATAATTTAAATGGACATTTCTACTAACAAACCTTTAAAGAAATATAACTACCTGAATCAAACTTAATGAACTCCTTCATTTTGCCAGTAGCAATGTCAACCATAATAGTGTCATTGACTTTAACCAATGGATCAGGGTAGCGAATAGTTCTGCCATCATGAGTAGTTATGTAAGGTACATTCTTGGGGCCAGTTGCAGTTTTACGGACACGGCAAAGTTTGTACTGAAAAACATGCACTTGTTTGTTAGGTCTAGCTACAATAATATCATAAGCAGAGTAAAATTTTAGTCAAATGTATTCAACATTTTGTATGCAATATTAAGGAAGTAAATAATCTGCGACCGTCTGTTGAATTTGTTATAGCCTAAATTTTGACCACATCACCTATGTATATACACGTAACATGGCTTCGATTAAGGCACTTTATTTTAAATCAACATTTCGGGCAAAAAAATGTCAGTGTTTAATGATAAAGTCCATAAAAACCACAACTAGGTCACCCATCTGATCAGTGAAAGACAATTTAAATCACCTTTATTGAAAACATTTTCACTATGAGAGAGATATCACTAATGTTTGGATTAAAACAATGGCACAATTTCAGTTAATAGTCCATATACAGCGGACTCAATTTTTGAAGAATATTTACTGTTAAAATAGTATCTCACAAACTGAAAAAGTATTTTAAAATATTGATTTCATAACAAACCTAATTTAACTTCAAATTATTTAACTTTTTATGAAAATAACAGATTCTAACAAATTCTGCCATTATAGTTTTAAGTGAAAATGTTCCATCATTTTGTATGCAGAAGTATAAAGCTAATAATCTGCGACCGTCTGATGATATTGTTATAGCCTAAATTTTGACCACATAAACTTATTAAATTTAAGCAATATGGCTTCGATTAAGGCAAAATGTGAGTGTTACATAAAATATTCAAAATATAAGATGGTACTCAAATGAAAAAGGTTAGAACATGGAAAAGAGCAAAAACAGACATGCCTACCCCTGTCAGCCAAAAGTAGGAACAGTTATGCCTAAAAAGAGGAATTTGAAGCCAAAAAGAGGAACATACGCGCGGACGCAACTTTACTAAGTCAGAAATAAAAATAATTAATTAAAAATTACTCTAATGACATTAGTAGGCTTCTAGTCCTATATAACTAGTCTCTAGTATACATTTAAATACTGCTTAATGTCAGCTTACATTTTAAAAAAGAAATTAACCAATAACCTGAGACCCCCCCCCCCCCCCGAATAAAAATCATAGCTTTGACATAACATTATTGATTTGATTATTTGTGTCTTGCTATGTTCTAGGCTATATGAATAACAAATGCTGAAGGCTTCATCATATGTAAAGTTACGAGCAAAGACCCTTGATCTACCTAGTAAAACTCCTAGTTACTTCTTACTAAGTTCTTCATAATAGTAGTTACTAGTTAAGTTAAACTTACAAGATAGATCAGTATTCACTATTTCAGTATCTACTAGTAGTAGATATACTACTAACTAGATCTAGCATTAAGATGATACGTGTATATATTGTAAGTAAACTAGGAAACAGAAACGTGTGCCAAAGGGAGATAATCACTTTTTCCTGACATTTTTTTCAATTTACTTTATTACCTTTCTTTATTAAATTTTTTTTCAAAAAAATCGGAACCAACTGAGTCAATTTTGGGATGACGGAACAAATTACTTTTTTTAGGTGAAACAGCGGGACGGTTCCGATTTTGGCGGGACGGTAGGCATGTCTGCAAAAACAACAATAGGTCATTGCCAAATGGTACACCTAAATGCAAGCACCAACTTTAAATGGTTTTCTAATTAAATAAACGAAGTGAATACTCGGAAGATTTTCTCCCCAACGTCTCCACTTAGTCTGCAAAAGATAGCTCTGCGCATGCGCAGTGACCTATGGCTAGGGTTAGAATGAGGGTCAGGGATAGGATTAGGGTTCTGCGGTTGTAAACACATGCATGCGCAGTACCATCGAAAACATTGCCGCGATGGCAAGTCGTAGTTTCTCTCAATTGCGCATGTTTATCTTTTTCCGGCTAGCATCTGCCTTAAATAAAATACATCTGACACAATTCTTGCGCCCCTCCTTTTTTTATACCAGTGTCCGATAATAGAATCTTTAAAAAAAAGGGGTGTTAGGTTACTGATAATTAACCAAATACACACATGCTGGCTAATGTCAATGCTAACCCTGTCCCTAACCCTAAACCATAGTCCTACCATAATACGCCTAACCCTAATTTCTAAACAGTAAGTCGAGATTACAATACTACTAGCAACACACCTATTTTTTATCGGACAGCCGGTTTTAATGTTACAAACAAAATTAAGCCATTAAGAAAACAAGATAAATGGCGCAACTATTTTTTTTAAACCATGCAAAATGTAAACCCACAAATAGTAGGCAGAACAACAACTTAATTGGTTTGCGACCGTCAGGGGGTATTAATCTGGGCCCACAATTAACCACTGTCCCCATTGTAGCATCAGCATGGCTGCAATAAGGCCAATAATACTTTGAAACTTAAAACAGTTGATGGTAGTTCAAAGAAGGAACGTTGTTTTCTTTACCTTGGCTTCCTCATTCTTGATTCTGTGAACAACGAATCTGCCTTTAACATCATATAGGATCCTGAAGTTTTCATTTGTGCGGTCAATTGTAACCACATCTTGAAGAAAAAAAGACATGCTCTGATTAGCATACAGTATCTTACAGGCCTAAATCTAGACCCAGGTATAAACACACAAAAATGAAGACATGGTTACAAAATTTAAATATAAAACAATTCCTACCCATGAATCCTGTTGGGTAGCAGTTGTCGGTACGAATCTTGCCATCTACTTTGATGAGGCGTTGTTTGACTATCTTCTTGACCTCTTGGTAAGACAGGGCATACTTTAGCCTATTACGCAGGAAAAGCGTCATAGGAAAACTCTCACGAGATTTATGAGGACCTGGACTACATTTGGGTGCCTGCGATTATGGAGGAAAATAAATACAAGTCATTGGGTCTTGACTTAAGGCAAATTATAACATTCTTAAGTAAGCTTCAGTTAATTAAAAATGACTTACAAAGACACCTCCTGCTTTGTCCAACATCCATGATTTAGGTGCTGCTAAGCGCTTGAGCGACTTTCTTCGTCCTCTGTAACCCTGAGAATTGAAATTACAAAATTTATTACTTGGAAATGTTATTAATGCTAGGAAAAAGAGTTAGAATCTAATAAATTCTAGAGGAGCTTACACTTTTCGGACACACATAGCGAAAAAACGCAACGTAAAAATTCCATGCGGTCTCATTCAGTAACCGCTTAACATAGAAAACAAAAAAAAGTATCATATCTATCCGCAACCATTCTACTTTAATAATGTGTGTGTCATTTTGTATTCATACGCATAGAACTTAAGCTATTCTTGTTATAGTGACTGGGGGGTCTTAACGTGTGTTCGGACACATGTAATACAGTTTTACATGTGTTCGGACACCTTTACCCGTCATCGGACATAGCACTTTTTGTTCATTTAGAATAATTTAAAGTCAATTTAATGAATAAAAACATATATTATATGCATTTATATTGTGTTATTGATTGTTTGTGAGGTAATTTTAATAGTATAAAACCTTTTTCCCACACTCCCAAAGTTCATCCCATTCAGCCATTGCGGCTCGCGCAGTACGCTGCTAAGCCAGCCAGGTCACATGATTCCCCCTCCTCTTTCGCATTCCACTGCCTTCTTGACCTTATTTTGACCCTTTCCCTTCAATAACCAGCCCCTTTTATGCTCTAAATTCTTATTTAATAATATTTTTGTGTTGCTGTCCGATCCCATGTAAGGTCAAAAAAGTTAGCGAACACCCCTTTTTTATTGTTCAAGCACGAAAAAACCCATTAACCTTGACATTTACGATGTTCCATACATATATAGAAGCTATTTATAGTGTAACCTTTTAGCTAAGCATTGATTGGTTCAAGTTTTGCCCCTAAGTCCAACCCTAGGTCACTTCATCCGGCTGGTGTAAAAATAGAAATGTGCGTACCATGCAACGTTGAAAAATTTCTAAAAATAATTCTTGAGAAAGGAAACGGAAGTACTTGACACGGAAGTGTTCATAAATGAACAGTTTACGTGCAGGCGCCGTGGTTTCGCGTGAGACATGCTAATTAAAGTTTCTATGAGCCAAAAACCGACGAAGTGTTCGGTCCTACGTAATTTTTGGTGTGTGTCCGAAAAGTGTAAACTCCTCTAGTTCAATATTTATTTCACTACTGAATGCTTCTGAAATGAAATGCAGGTTTTCAAGGGGGGTGGGGGAGGGGGGGAAGTATCCCAAAAAAACCTCAGGATTAATTTTTTTTTTTAAGTGTCTTAGACTAGTGTGCATGTACAATGAAAGTTTATGTGAATATGTACAAAGTACTGTGAAGAGCAAGACTTGACTTCGGGAGTTTAGGACAAGAGTAGATCTAGCGAAGCTGCAACTGTAGATTTAAGATGCTAGGAGTGGATTTCTGGACAAGTATGATTTGCTAGTAGAACTAGAATGCAGCTAGAGATATACAGGCTAAAATGATTTGGAAAGAGATAGATTTTGCAGGCCAAGTACAGATATATGAATTAAGATACTAAGTGAAGTCCTTAAGAATAGCGTAAGACAAATTTACACAACTTGTTTTGTAAATGACTTATAATGGTAAAGTTATAAACATAATTTGTTGAGCTAACAATTATTTGCAATTAATAACTGACATAAAAAAACAAAGGGATTTTTAACCATATTAATATTTTTAGTAGTTGATTATACTAGATAAAATGTCAAAGGATGGGGTGGATTATATATATTTATTTATATCATGGAAATCCTAACTACCCACCATATTGAAGTCCTAACCGGAAAAGGAAGTAAACCGGGCTAAAAATTTCAACAAAAGCGATTTTAAAATGTAACCTAGCAATTTCCGGAAAATGATATTGAAACAAAACTTGTTATATATTTGATGATGAATTAATTAGACCCCTATTTTTCATAATATATATTAATCTTATTACAAAATTTAAAAAAATCATCGGTGATGTGGCTAAATAATATGTGTATCACCTTCGATAAGCTTTATAGTCAACTATCAAGGCTAATATTCTTTTTCAAAATGCAGCTAGGCTTAATTTAAGCGCTATTAAAGTAGTAAAAACAAAACATTTTAAAAAAAAAACAACACTTTTTAAATATGCTTTTACTTTTAATTTAACTGAAAATTGGAAAATAAGTAATTAATTTTGTCATTCCCTTTTTACTGTTGAACGAATTCATTTTTCAATTACATTTTAATGACAGTTTTAAGTTCTTTAAAAAATAAATATTCTTGCATTATCACCTGAGACAAAAGTTAAAATCGTTGCATTAGAAGTTGGTCAAATTTGTGTAACAAGATTTGCCACAATCCGCAAACAAAGTGGGGGGGGGGTGCGTGTGCGCGTGCGCGTGCGCGTGCGCGTGCGTGTGTGCGTGTGTGTGAGTGTGTGTGTGTGTGTGTGTGTCAAGACTTATTTATCTGAGAGGCGAACTGCAATTATGTTTACAGGACAAGGGATGGACAATGCAAAAGGAGTCAGATTATTAGGCCTACTCAATAAAAGAGATAACAGAAAAATGTGACATTTCGTTTTCGACCTATCTCTACCTACATATTGTTTATTACATTTCAATTTCTATTATGCCTACCCCTCCCCTAACTTCCACAGCAATACGTTCCGGATTCCAGTGGACGTTCTTAATTTGTCCTTTATTTTATAGAATTAAGTCTTTCAAGTAAAAATCAACAATCGAAGCAGCTTTTATTGAATTTTTAGGACATAATATCGACTTTAACAGTGTTTTTTATATCAACCCAAATTTCTGAAAGGGGCATGGACATACGTATATCGCAAAGCTAGGTTAGACGTATAACCTACTCCTTGTTAAATAATAGTGAAGTACAACCGTGTTTCTTTCAGACATTTTTCTCTCGGGTGGTATTATTCTATCAAATTGAAAACGAGTTCAACAGCCGATGTAGATTGTAGGAACACGCAATAGGAACATCGGGCAATCTAGAAACTTACATTTGTTGACCATTTGTTATGTACCGAGCATAAAATAGTCCATGACCAACGCATAGATTATAGTTTCCACAAAAAACAATCCAATAACTTATATATAGGCCTATATTCTCCCAGCAGTTAGCTAAATAGTTTCGTTTCAATTTTTGTTTACCTTATAGACATTCCAAAATATGATAACTAGCAACGCTGCTTATATTGATAGCTAAAAACAAAACTACAAAATTTGCAAAAGTGCCTTTTAATTAACTATTATAGGCTACTTAGAACGAAGAACAGACGTTGTCAATTCAAGCAGTTTAATGAGAACCGATATTCTTCTGCATGTTTGATATTTAAAAATTGGCTACAAAATTTAAACCTTTTTAATGATGTCTTTCACCCCCTCAATGATCGATCTGGGGAAGATGGAATTGCAAGCGTTATACTTGTTTCATGCGCAACTCTCCTGATACCATGTTAGTTTTACTTACAAACTAGATATGGTTAGCTAGAAAACTTAGATGTGATGAAGTGTTTTAGACACACACACGCGCGGGCGCGCACACACACACACGTTCTTATTCGTCATCATCTTTTTCTCTTTGTATCCATAACCACAAGTACCCCCACAAAAAGCTACCTCCACTTTTGTCGGTCTCCGGCAATTTTCCAGCCCCCCCAAGACAGTCTGCCTTTGCCAGCTGATTCCCCGTCGTGCGCCTCCATGTCTCCATTGGCCTTCCCTGGTTTCCTTTTTTATTGCGATGTTATCTGGATTCATTCTTATGATGTGCAACATCTTTTCCCCCCGATTATTTTGGAAACTGCTTACATATCCTTCTCTCCAAGCAGTCTATCAACGGAGAAGGTGCAGGCCAGTGGATGCAACGTTCTTATTATTGGAAACATAAACCAATAGCTTTGCCCACTTGCAGTGTTTTTTTTTCCATTCATCTCTTCGAGATAGTCTACCGCCCCCCCCCCCTGAACGAAATGGAATTTATATAGAAAATATTTAGTTTAGTTCCCCCCCCCCCCCAATTTTCAAGTGCCCCCACCCCCGGAGAAAAAAGTCTTACCTCTTGTTTTATGATTTCATATTCACATTACATTTTTTTTACTCCACGACTATGACACCCACGCCAGACTCAACAGTATGCTAACGCAGCCCCGAAAGTCAAGAGGATGGAACCGGGCTCTGGTCTGTAGATCGCCATCGACCAAACTCCCTAGTCCCCACCGGAGAAGGAAGTCGAAAACTGATGGAGACGTGCCGATGCGGCTGGTAGTGTCGAATTCACAAACTATGAATCGTTGATAAGAGAAACAAGTTAATTAAAAAGTCTAGTGACATTTAAGCGCAATTTCCTTATGTTATCTAAAAATAGCTCTGTCGTAGCGTAAATCAAGAGCAGGGTTAGTAAAACCATTGGTTAGTTATTAAAACTTTTTTTATTAATTTTTTTTCGGTATTTTACATGTTTTATTTACAATAGAGTTACATGACTAAAAACCATTGCGCGCCTAGTTACCGAACGTGATGTCGCAGCCATTGAACGTGATGGCGCAGCTATTGAACGTGATGACGCGTATGGTGTGGTTGGATAAAAATGCCTACTAATTCGGCCCAAATTTTAATTAACTCAAAAAATTTTTTGTGACCGAACGAAAGGATATTTTTGAAAACTTTCTTCGGCAATTTTGTTCTAAATTATGGCAGGAATTGATTGGTACATGTTTCAAGTCGCTAAGTGGTCTGGTTGCCGAGATATGGGCCAAAAACGGCATTTTCCCGAGGTTTTTTGGCTTTTCCGGGAAATCCATGAAAGAAACCCGTAATTTTTATGGCCTATGTTCATCCTCGTAACTTGCTTAACATAATTGCTTTGGAACTAGTCCTCGATATTGCTTCGTTGAGGAGGAGATACAACTTAAAGCTGCGGACACACATTCATACATTCATCCATACATCCAGAAATGACGGGTTAATAAACGCAATTCTCCAGAATGGAAATTGCGCTAAAAAAAAGAACTAGAAGCGGCGTATGCTACGTCGCGGGTCAGCTCGTTTGTATATATTTTTGTAATCTCTCTATGGCTGACGATAATGGTTATGTCTGTAAAAGTAGAAAAAGTGATATAACGTTGTTTCAAAATATGATGATCGTTATAATAAAATACATAAAGATCAATCCAACGAGGCTCTGACTTCTTTGACATTTTTTTTAGATTACTTCGGAGATGGTGTAGGAAAATGTGACTAACATATTAGTTAGAAATAAAAAAATATTGAAAATGTTTATTTTTGTTGTTTTGATAAATGGGTGATGGAACTATGTAATGTCATTTAGGGAGAGGGTGTAAGTCTTGATTTATGAGTGACAACCTATGGGGATTAGGTGGTGAGGTGAAATAGACTAAAATTGACAGACTTAATTTATGATTAGTCCTTATTATACAGCTTTTCAATCGTATAGTTACAAAGCAGATGCATTAAATAATATATTCTACGATGATCACACCTAACTGTATTTACTCAAATATTTGTAACAAACTGGGAATGCTAACACCATTTTAACCAGTAGTAATTGGGAAGTTAGGACAGTCAGTGATATGTCTGCTATGTATGCTTGTTGTTTTCAGTGTAAAAACTTTGAAACGGTATAATGCTTATTCTTAAGCTGACTTGGTAAAATAATAATGCGTTTCCGACTGTAGAAAATGTCCACGGGAGATTATTTAAAATATAACAATTTGCGGATTTATGACATGAATTAATTAAAATTAAATAGACCCACTAATATGTGAATGTGCACTCTCTTCGGAACTTATAAGAATATCTCTTTATATCCTTTTGGTGTATGTTTTAAAAACAAAATTTTAAATATACTTTACTAATATGAATACAGAAATAATATAAATGTATTAGGCCCTATTTATTAAAAATTTCACTGAATATAAAAAGGGCAGAATTTAATACAATGGTCACATTACAATTTTATCCAATCAAAAGCGAGTTTCTTGCTGTTTCTTATCTATCGTTGGAAAATAAGATGTCGAAGAATTGTTTCAAGGGTGTGTTGTTTTGATAGCTTTGTTTTGATTTACTTGGGACTGTTTAGGCACAAGGTCTGTCGGTACTCAAACTGTTAAGATGGAACATTACACTGACTTCGAAAGTGACAGTAATTTTGCCGATTTTCTTAAATTTGAAGACGATGAAGACATGGAAGACATGAGTTCTATCACCCAGGTATGTGTCGATGAAGATCCTGAAGAAGAGGAAACAACAACACAACGGTGTTCCAATTCTGGGGTAAATGTTTCAGAAACTACAGACCAAGAGCATGTCTCGGTTGACGATTCTAATAGCAAGGAAGCAGAACTAGGACAATCAGACCCAAAGACAAAATCTCTGAGCGTTGATTTCGAGAAAACTGGGTAAGTTTCTTTTCTTTTAGTTCTACAATCTACTCTAGACTCTAGACTAGAATCTAGATCTAGATCCAGACCTAGATCTAGAATCTAGAAACTTTCTAGTCAGTCTAGATCTGGAAAATCTAAATATAAATCTAGACTAGAAATTAGTAATAGAATCTAGGGTAAAACTTCATTTTAGCGTGTTTTATTGCCTCTTCAATTTCACCTCCGGTTGAGCGTATTTTATTACAAACACAACCGAAGCACACAAAAATGTTAGGAAAACACTAGGATTAGAGCTAGATCTTTTTTTTTGCCTCTTCACGTTCACTTCCGGTTGAGCGTATTTTATTATAAACACAACCGAAGCACACAAAAACGTTAGGAAAACACTAGGATTAGAGCTAGATCTTTTTTTTTAATATATGAATATGAGTTTTAATTAGAAAAAGGTAAAAAAAAAAACAACATAACAAAGCATTAGGAAAGTTCCAATTAAATAAGCATTAGGACAGTTCCAATTAAATAGCGTGTGATCGTCAGCGGGAGAAAAATCCCTACACGGTCAAGGGTTCACAGTGAGTTCACATTGACTTTAATTAGGCTATTAGCAAAGGTCATAGCTTGGGGAATAGCTATTTGAAATGGTGTTTGCCTCAGTTTTGGGGTCATCGTGAGTTCATAAAAGTTTATTTAATATTTATAGGGCCTAGCATTCAATATTCCAAATTTGGATTTTTCTCAAGTTATGATGAAAGTAAATTATCAAAACTAAATCTTCATAAAGAAATAAGCCCAATGTTTTCCTAACGTTTTTGGGTGTTTCGGTTGTGTTTATAATAAAATACGCTCAACTGGAGGTGCACGTGAAGTGGGGAATAAAATATGCTAAAATGGAGGTTTACCAGAATCTAGTAATTAGATGTAGATCTAGTCTTGAAGACTAGTACAGTAGAGACTAGAGATCTAGAATCTAGATTTCTAGATCTAGACTAGGACACTAGATCTAAAATCTAGGTCCTTTTAGTTAGTCTAGAATAGTATAGATTAATCTAGATCTAGAAAAAAAGTTTAGTTTCATTGAGTTTAATCAAGTTCCTTTTTATTTTTAAATTTAAAATATCAACTTGGCTAGATCTAGACTTTCTAGACTCTAGTGTGATACTCCCATTAGTCATGAGCAGCCTAATGATTAGACATTAGGCTTAATCTAGATTTATAGGCCTAGGCCTAATTAAATTACAATTAGTTTTGGCATGTGATCTAATAAGGGCCAAATCAATTTTATGGATATTTTTCCACATGGGCCTAATTATTTTGATGACACTTAGCTTAGATCTCTTGTCTTAGTTTAAGAAACTTAGTAGTTTCTTTTGCTGGAAGTTTTAAAATTTTATGCCATCACCATCTTCTTCCTGCCCGCTGTTTTAGGTACATTCACCACACAATATCTGAAGATGAAATACTCATGCAAATCAATCCTGGAAGCAGTCGTATGCCAACCAATCCATCTCATGCTACATTAACCATTGAAAGTCAAAACCCAAAAACTAAGGCCAAGGAGGTCACAAGGTGGGTCACACAATTAAAGAAGAAATTCTTTCCTGTCTTCAATCCTTTCTTATTGATAAGTATCAACTTTTAATTCTTAGATCCTGTTCTTTAATATCAACCAATGTTTGAAATATAGGCCTATAGGCTAAGTATAGTATATTGTAAGTATATTGTATTTAAAAGATGTTATCTAATTCATAAGGAAGCTAAAAGTATTAGATTTGCACTTGTGTTTCTTTATTTTTAAAAATATGTAATTAGTACATTTCCCTAATATTGGTTATTTTTAAGGTTCAAGTGCACATTTGCCCAGTGTGCAAGAACATACAGTACACCTGGTAATTTAAAGACACATGAAAAAACTCACAGAGGTAATTGTGAAAAGTTGTTCTTTACTTTTCATTAGTATAATGAATTTAGAGCTCTTACACTACAGTTGTCTAAAACAAGATTTAAAATTTTTTTAGACCTTTGTAAATCTACATTAGTTTCTTTATAACTGTTAATTAATCATAAATGAAACAATTTTTTTTACCTTTATCATAAGATGCATTATGACTTTAAAAACAAATTACAATGCTAATGATTGTTCAAAACCTTTACTGTAGGTGAACTAACATTTGTTTGTAATGAATTGGGTTGTGGTAAAAGATTCTTGACTTCATACTCATTGAAGATTCATGTGCGAGTTCACACAAATGAAAAACCTTATGAATGTGATAAACCTGGATGTGAGAAGTCTTTTAACACTATTTATAGGTAAATTAATTACTTGCTAAAAAAACATTTTTTTCTGGACTATTAGATTATGAATTATTATAATTTTTTTTTAAAGGAGTTCTTAAAGACACAATTATTGAAATAATTTCCATTAGTTTCAAATATGTTTTTGTACTTTAAAAGTTTAAATGTTCTTAATAATTGTAAAATTGATTTTTTTTACTGTAATTAACATTAATTAGATTGGTTTTGGCTTTTAGATAAATTTCAGTATTGTGTAATCTTTGAAACTTAATATTAAAAATTTAAATACTGCATAATTGAAATGTTATTTTAAAATCTTAGACTGAGAGCCCATGAGCGTCTTCATACTGGTGAAACATTTAAGTGTGGCTCAGATGGATGCACAAAATACTTTACAACTCTCAGTGATCTTCGAAAGCACATCAGAACACATACAGGAGAAAAACCATTTGTGTATGTCTTATATTAATGTCCATTCCACCAAAAATATCTTTATAGTCAACATTTGTTTGGCGTTTTTTATCAGTGATTTTTTTCCGGATTGACCAAAATATAATTTAATATAAATAACTTACGAGTTAAATTGTAAACTTGTTACTTAGGTAGTGTACTATAGTTTTAAAACTGGGAGTAATTTTATGCTTTGTTGGAAAACAACCAATGTTACACATAAAGTGGCTGTCTACATTTATATTTGAATATCTATTGCAGTTGTAATGAAGATGGGTGTGGAAAGGCTTTTGCTGCAAGTCATCATTTAAAATCACACAATCGAATTCATACAGGTATTATTAATGCAATTTCTAGTTACAACTATAGCTGTACAAATGAAATGTAAAAAAGTAAAGGTGCCTTCTGGACCTGACCGTATATGGTGAAAGAAAAGTAGAGTTATCCTGTTTCTGTGACCTTAGCATATGAAGGGATAGTGTAGTCAGCACTATGCCCAGTTACCTTTACTTTCCCCAAAGAAAGTGCAGGGACATTCTACTGATTTGAAACAGGATTCTAACTCTAGTGCTCTACCGCTATGCCACGCTGTCCCACAAATTGAAATGTAATTTCCCAAACATCAAACAGCATTTTAATATAAAATCATAACATTGTTTTTGTTTTACTCCTATTATTATATTTGTAATGTTAAGAAGTGAATGTAAAATTTCAGGTGACAAACCCTATGAGTGTACAGAAGATGGGTGTTGTAAAGCATTTACTTCCATCTATAGCCTGAAGTCACACAAATCTAGACATGAACGAGAACTAGAAAAAGACAAAGGTTTGTCTATATCATTCATGTTTTATTATAAATTTATACATTCTGTTTTATTGTTAAACAGGATGATTGAGTACTTATTAAATAGTAGTAATATCGCATTTTTAGTTTGCGTTCGTTATACCTTCCCTCTAGGTCACCAGCATAGCACAACTAAAAGTTCAACAGGTAGCTCTTATGATATAGAGAACAATAATGCAAATTTGTCAACTCTACAAAATGTGATAGTATTGAGTCAAGGAAACGTTCATTCAGATGTCAAGTGTGAACCAGATCAGGTGCGATATTTCTTCTTTTAAAGCAACTCTTATTTGTATGATTTTTGTGCTGATATCTTGCTGTATCTTAGCAATGTGCTTTAAAGATTGCTGGAATCATTGCCAGCCTGTATTTCTACTATTCTGCTGTTACAATACTTTCTATACATTGTTAGGATGTTGTAAAAACGCAGTAAGCTCTACCTACTATCTCTATTGCAATGCTTGCTTCTATTTTTATTAAAAGCATTACCAAAAAGTAGTTTTGTAATGATGGTGTGTATTCTTTCAGACCACCAATGGAATGAGTGTGGAGCAAGTTATAAATTCTATGTACAGTTCTAGAGTTGTGAGTGAAAATTATCCTCAAGGTTTAACCCAAGGAGATGATGGTGAGTAATTTGAACTAACTTCTTAACAGATCATGTGATATGATTTTAGGCATTTACCCTCTAGAGATGGGACAGTTCATAAAAAAGTTAAATTTCTGAGTCAGATAAAAGCCCAGTCCATAACTTCAGGTACCTTATTAGTTGGCTGTGTTCAGGTGTTGAGAAAGAAATAACTTATTGGTAAAAGATTGCAATGTGTTGTGTGAGGAAAACCTACTCTGTGTGATGAGTTGTAGGGCCATAGAAATTTTTTAGTGAAAAGTAGTGACAAAAGTAGTTAAATATCAATACTGAAGAGGTTAGGGCAAGATTGCTGTATTTACACACAAACTGTTCTCTATATAATAAACTTATCATTAATAATTAGTGGGCATAAAAAAGTATTTCTCACACTGGATTTAAATGTACATTTTTCTCCAAATACAATTTTGCAGACTATTTTGCTATATGATCAAGTAAAGAAAAATTACTCAGTCTGTGTTATTTAAGCATAAAAATAAAATTAACATATCTTTTCAAAGGATTAAATGTTATGTTTTAATCTGTAGGAGTCTCCACTAGCATAGTACAAGAACTTATCCAGCCTGTGATTCCTCTAGAGCCATGTTTGATTGACCAACAAGCAGTTTGTGTGATGCCATCTGCTGTTGATCTGACCAGTGGTACGTTGTCCATGATTCCATCTCTACAGCTTGACCCCAGCATGATTCAGCCCACCCAGCTGATAACCCACCACATGGCGTCAGAGGCCCAGGGTGGTGTCTCTCAGAATGTCAGTGTGGGCGGAGCAGTCCAAGCTAATGATGGGGTGGACAGCTTGCTGCCCCCGGTCTCCACCTCACTGGCCAACTTCCAGCTGCTGATGGGAGGCAACAATTCGATCATGCTACAAGGCCAGAACGGCGCCTTGCTCCAGATCCCCAGCTCTGTCCTCTTGCAGAACCCCGCCGCACTTGCCACGCTGGTGAACTCACTGGGTCAAACTGTTGACAACATCGCCACCTGCTGCGCTGCGTCAGGTTCCTACGAACCATCCACTGTCATCGCGAATCACTCTCTCATTTCATCAAACGGAAAAACGTTACCAACTTTATCTGGTTTAAATATGATTTCTCAACAACCAGCATCGGGAACAGAAACAATGATACTACCTACCCATACAATACAAGCAATGCACCCTGTACATCACACTATTCAAGGAGCCCCTGTGAACTGTATATCAGATTACTCCACCATCATTGGCCTAAATCCCCAAAACACAAACAGTTTACAGTTCAGTAATTCACAGAACTTAATTTTGAATTATAACAACGACAGTATTGACCAAAGCGGAGGTGCGTCTTTGTCATCCCTGACGCTCGTGGATCCACAGGCCACCTCCGCTTCCCACTCATCCAATGAAATGCTTCACCTGATAGATCATAGCCAAGCATCGGCCTCTCAAAACACTATTGAAACACCTACCACAACCCCAGTGATATTAAAATGTCCACCGGTCGCACACACTCACATCGCCTCATCCGCTGGGTCGTGTTCGAAAACTTGCTCAACGTCGTGCTCCACCTCAACCTCCCATTCAGTCCCTCGATCTGTGCCGGCCAGAATAAACTTGCCAGATGATGGCACCTTGACCTCAGCTATTCAGAAAGGTATACCTGTGTCTATTGTTGCTGGAGCCAACCCTTCCTCCATTGTTCTCAACCAAGTGTTTGTGCCAGTGTACAGTAACACAGAGAAAGGTCCAGTTATAGAACTAGTCCCTCTCAAACCTAGCACATAGCCTTAAGAACTTCCCCCTCTTGTCAATGTTGTAATGCTTTCAATGCTTGATGTGGATTTGTACAAAATGTGTTCTTAACAGTATGTGTTTTTACAATAGTCTGTTTTATTTATTTTGCGAACAATGCAGGCATAGCTGTTTTCTAAAAGCAAGTGGAACATACATAAAATGAAAGAAGAGTGAATGGAATATTAATGTAATTTAATATTGTTTACTTATATAAGTTATTAATGAAAATTGTTTATGACAGATATATTTATTTTATTTCCTTATTATTTCAACTCTAGTTCTCTATTAATATCCTTAAGACTGATCACTTGAGATAATTCATTGCTATACTTGTAAACTCAAGTTAGTAAGTACATACAGCTTTTACTCTACCTTCACTACTGCTAAGATGAAGCTGCTCTTTCTATTTTCTATATCTATTACAGATTGAATAAGTAACCAAGAAAATAATCTGTCCCATATGTAACTCAGGGATACATAAGCCCTTCACTTCAAATCCAAAGTTAATGTTTCATATAAACTTTTATTTTAAATTTAAAAAAAAATTGCTCTAAAGCTGGTTGTATTTAAAAAAAAACAACAACTTCCTATTTTGTTTGGGGTAATTTATTTTTTGTTTTTATTCTATAAATGAATACACAATTTTGATACACAATAGATACTCACCATCCTAATGCATCAACAAATTTAGATGCAAGCAGCTTGTCAAATCAATTTCACTTGACTAAAAACCATTCATAGCTATTTGTACTAATTTATACCTTCATTTCTTTTATTTTTTTAATAATCCTGATATTGAATAAAATGGCTACCAAATATGTCACTTATTACACAAGGAAGTATTTTTCTATCTATCTGCATGTTTATCTGAGTCTGACATAGTATTTGCTCTTGAATACTGTTCTATTTTTAAAATCAAAAGCAAAGCTGCAATAATGTTTACACTATTTTTAAGTCATCCACCATTTTTACAGTCATTTTTATAAACAAGGCTTCTCCATGAAAGAGCATCACACAGGTAATCATCAACTCTAAAAATGTTAAAAGTATTATTATCATTGAACATATTTTCACCCTAAATATTTAATTTTGTTTACATGTGGACAACATATTTTGTTTGATCCTACCACTGCCTGTTAAGACCTACGTGTTGAGCAAATTGATCATAAGATTGATATCATGACTGTATACACACATCATTTTTCATTAGTGTTAGCCTTGCATTAGTATGTTACTAGAAGTGGTGTTAGCAGATCTAATCGTTTACATTTGATTTGGTTATTTTTGCATGTGCCATAACTATTTAACAGAGCAATACTAAAAATTAAACTGTAACATCTATTCCATTTCTAACATCAAATATTCACTTCTAATGAGGATATTTATTGAAAATTCTTTTTATTGATCTGTTTGGATTACATTATCATTGAAACTATTTATTCCATTTATTTAAAGAATTTTGTCTTGTATGCATTGAATTTGTAAAATGTGTTCATATACTATTTTTTTCATTTATCCTATTCCATGAGAAATTGAAAAGCCATATGAAATTTCACGGAACAATTACATGTACTGTGAGATAATAAAATTTAACTTAAAACTATTTGTAAGGTTGTTTCGTTTAGTTTAGTAATTTAAGTTATATATACTGTGATAATTTAATATGTACACATTGGGTCAAACCCAGTTAGTGATTTTCATTCAACAAGTTTGGTAAAATTTTGGGTCCATTTGTTGTGTGACAATTAAGGTTAACTATGCAATGCTTTGTTGGTGTTACATAAATTAAACTTACCCCTGTCGTTTAGCAATAATCCTGTGGAATATGTTTTGTACAAAAATAAGCTGTGTAAATGTCAGGATAACTATGTACTACTGCATGCTATACTCATTACAATAAATTTTATATCTGACAATTGAGTCATACATTTTATAATGGTTTTAATTTTTTTTCTTGTTCAACAATTGTTAATCCTTGTCAGAAAAATTGTAACATTTACTTCAACAAAAATGGCATTTCCTTGGGTAAAAGAATTTGTCGAACAAATCGAAATGCTTTCAACTAGAATATACATCAGTTTGTTAACAAAAATGTTAATATTTTTATAGTTTTATTCACATTTTATACTCTTAACAAAACCTATCCGATTATAGGGTACAAAATTATGACTGTAACAAGTAATATTCTGTGAGTTTAGATTTTCTGATTATTTTCACATTATTGTTTATATATCAGTAATTCTTCCATTTAAAATTGTTCGACATCTTTCCAAGTGCAAAATTTACACAGATAATTAACACTGATAGTTGTCTTTTTCATTGGTGAAGGCTGTAACAAAAAGGTGGCTCGTGGACTTTAGGGAGAAATTTCTACATATTTTTTTTTATAATTGTGCTTTGTACATTGTCATAGAATGACATTAGCAACATTACTGATTTTCAAATGACTAGCTTCATTATTTTTATTTTAGGTAAAAAAAATAATTTCTGTATATTTGTGCAGATGGTCATGTTGAGCAGTATTACCTGAAGTGTAAAGTCTTGAGAGCAAGTTCTTATTTATTGATACCACAATAGTAAAAAGCTCAACCAACAAATCACTTTCCTTTTCTTGCTGAGTTTGTGTGGCTAAGTTTATTACAGTAGGAAGTTTGTATAGGGATAGCAGTTTCTTCTGTATACAACAGAATTTACGTGTGTTTGTTTATTGTAGTGCTGTTTGCATTGGTAATTAATGCTGAATGTTTTCTGTTTTGTTATTCATCCTTGTTAGAGTAGTTCGATGTTTCACACTTTAATTGAAGTTAGGTTGCACACAAACACTTCGATGTTAGTTTGTAATTATAGTGTAACATATACTAATAGAATTGAAGTTAGCTCACACAAAAGCTAATACAAATCAAGCACGGTTGGACAGAATCACTAATAGTAATAGAATTTACCGGAGGTTGGTCACAAAAATTAAAAAAAGAATTGACATTTTCTTGAAGTTTGGAAGAAACAATTCTAGAATACAGCATTGTTTAATGTATTAGCAAGAATGCAAGCTAATGATACCTTTTTAATGAATTAATACTACGCTTTTTGAGTAAAGCAGAATCCATAGCATATTTGAGGTGTTAATAGTTTTAATACCTAATTTTGAGCTTCTGGATTTTTATTTTGAACTAGCTATTTGCTGAGTGATATATTGTTTCCTTTGCATTAAGTCTGATTTTATTTTATAAAGTATTCTTAATTAGATTGTTAAAATCTTTTATGCACTTACGAGAGGATTTCTATTTTTGAAAAAAAAAAGCACCAGCAAAAAAATTGACTTGTTTACATACAGGTATCTTTAAGTAAGTACAATTTTGTACTGCTGGTTGTATTGTATTGTTCAAAGGTTTCAGACCAGCTTGTAAGACATTTATTCTTTGCTTTAAGAGCTGTTGTGTGTGAAGTATTTTAATGTATAGTATTAGTAATGAAAAAAGGTCGCCAGAATTAATATTTTAATGCTGGTATGATTATGGCTTTTCCAGGAACTAATCTCAGTTGCTTAAAGTCAAGTTGACTTTCCTTGTTATTTTTTAAAGTTCATAATATTTTAATACTGTTACTTTATTCACAAGACAATATAACCAATTTTAGACCTGGAAGCTACTACAAGCTTTTGAAACCTTTTTCAATTTATTTTTTTAACCAGAGATGGTCACGTGATACTTTTTCCCTTACATGTGACTGGGATGTCCAGGTATTGGCCATTGTAGGTAGTGGAATAGGCAGATATTTGTCAATGTAGTGGGTGGGTGTCATGTAAATTTTTTGTATACTTTAGATTCCGCCACAGCTTTCAAAACGTACAATAGTTTTATTAACAAGATCACTATTTATTTTCAGGGTCCAACCTAATGTAGTTTATTATGCTTATCCATTTGAGCTTATTAACCTAGAATTAAAGACACTAATTCCTCACAATCTACCAAATTTATAATTTTTATTTGGAGTAGAACAAAGTGAACATCTATCTTGAATAAAATTTGGGTTTAAAAAATATTTGTTTTTAATTAGATAATTTTTTTGGTGATTGCTTATGAGCATAAACTGTAAGACATGATGATTGGTACTGTTTTCTCTTGGCTTGCTATGGTTGTATTTGTGTTTAGATTAGATCTTGTCACACAGGAACAATATTTTTTAAAAGAGTTTAGAATTTTTTTTGACTAAACATGCTGCTTTTGTTTTTTCTCTGATTATTCATTAAGTATTTAACACACAATGGTGTTCTGATTATTCTGTCATGTGTCACATTATTTACTTAGATAACTTTACAAGTCCCCAATCAGTGTGTAATTACGGTGTGTATTTCAAGTCCTAACCTTGGTGTATACATAGATGAGTGCATGTTTATTAAATAATTGTAAAAACATATTTTTGAACACATAGTAATTTTTAAAAAATTCTGCAATAAAAGTAAGTATTTCTACATAGAGTTATGTTCAATTTTTGGCTGATTTTTTTGCCATTCCCTCACTCTAAAGAAAATATTGTATTGCATGATTCATGCTCAGCACTCTTATTTAGTGATGCTTCCTATTTCAATTAAGCGGTATCAGAACTGAAGTATCATTTTTAGTTGCTAGATAAGGGAAAACCAATCAGTTTAATGACAAACAACGATTAGAAATCAAACGACCAAAATCAAACTGTAATCATTTACTCCACAAGGTATTGCTAATACAAGAAACAAATAAATAAAAAGACCATGCATACGTTTTCATTAAAACTTGAATGCCTGTGTAAATCAAGTATATCTAGTGTAAATAAAATATTAATGGATTTTTAAAAAATAAATAAGGTGTTAGTGTATTGTAACATAAAAACTTTTGTGAACTTAAATATCCTTAAACTAATTGATTGAATTTATACAAACAATGTTAAATGAGGTAAAATAATTCCAAGCGCTATAAATAGAACCAAACTTTTCCATATGTACACTGCTGTAGATATTTCTTAATATCAATTCATAAAAAGATAATAAACAAACTAACCAAAAGAAACAGAGGCAAACATGTCAATAAATTAATCATTCAGTCAACTTGCACCCAATCTGAAGGGAAAAAAAAACTCTTCACAGATTACAGTCTACATCTAGTGCAAAGAAATATTTACATCAGTTGTGAAACAATATAAATACAACTGAACTTCTAGACCTAGCCAGCTTTTGCTTCCACAGCAAAAAATTGTGCTGAAACTAGAGGATCAAACACCACTCAGACAAAATCAAGCTTGTTCAGTTCTTACATCAAAACATTCAATTTCCAATCTTTAACTTCAGATCAAAAAGTTTATGAACATATTCAATGATTACATTTTTTTTTTTTGCTTTTACTTAACAAAAGTGTATATAGTTAATTTAAACAAAACCACAGGTTTAAGACAACATTTACAATTGTAAAAAAATTTCTTTAAATTTATGGAACTGAAATTGTAGAATGGCTGGAAGTTAATATAGTTAATACTATGTAAATAATAATATAATAATTATATATTTGTACAAAAAGCAAGTAGATTTACTTATTTTTTTTAAACAGTTACAAAAATTTTAACTAAAAACTTGTTCATTTGTATTTTTTTAAACCCAATTTTTAAACAAATTTATTTACAAAAAAATAAAACAACAAAAATAAATTTCATGCATCAAAGTTCTTACATTCAAGAGTTTAAATAATTACAGCACACAAATACAGAAAATATATATCTCACAACAACTAATAAATAATACAACAGAACTCATCCAGTAAAAAAAAAAATCAGTAGACTTATTGCTCAAAGACTTACTGATACCCTCCATACAGTTCAATCTTTGTTACAAATGTACACCATTAAAACTTGCATCGGCTGTTAGTTAAAAATAAGAACTAGAATAATTGTAAAGAAAGATATAATTCAGAAACATTGTTACAAGAGATGCTAATTTTTTTTTTACGAATGAAAAGATGCAACCACCAATGTTGCCTTGTTGAAATATATATTGAAAAGTAGATTAAAGCTATTATAGAAGAAGAATGCTATCTCTAAACCAGACTGAACATGTACAAGACATATGTATAAAAACATTAAAATTTACACACAATAGGAAATTTTAAAATAATGGACAATTCTTCTGGAAGATTATTTTAACTACAAATGTCTGCTGGGAGATGACTCTGAGAGTTGAAACAACACTGGTGCTCACAATATAAATAATCACTACTACAGAAAGTTTTTGCAGTAAATCTGGTAGTTTATTACAAATTGTTAATTGATGATAAAGCTAGAACAACATCTCAGAAGAATTTTCAACATGATGTGAGAAAGTAACAGTTACAAGGGCAAATCTACTCTCATCATGTGACTTGTGGTCATGTGATAGAGCAAACCACTATAGGTAAGGATAAACTGATTTTGAACAGTCTATTTGGTAAACGTGTATTAAGTTGGGTTATGAAACAATTGACACATTTGATAATAGGGAAGTAAAATTATATAAATAACACCAGTTGATAATAATTATATTTTATAGGGACAAAAGAAAAGATAAAATTGATTGCAATAAACTAAATAAACATTTATAAAACATGGTAAAATTTGATTAATAATGCGAGTAGAACCAATGAATCTGATGACAAGGGATTTGATATGTCAGTTTACATTAGCATTGATACAATGTCAAGATTTAGTGCTTGTCGATAGACAAGTGCATTTAAAAATCAGTAAGGTAAAAAACATTCACTGCTGTTTAAAGGAAATTAATACTGAGATATATTCATTACTGTAAGTTTACAGTTCAACACTTTATCCTCAATTGATGTATAAAGACTTAAAACTTTTGAACAGGGAAAAAATGTTGGGAGTGTGCTAATTGATACTTGATGCACAAGTATGGTTTAAAAATAATAAAAAAAAACTAAGCAATAAGCATTAAAAAAATGTTAATACACATAAATAACAATGAGTATGAAACATTAGAGAATCATTTCACACTTTAAAAAAAAGTATCTGGTGAGATGTACAGAAATGACTTAAGTACAATTACCTTCTTCAAGCTACCAGTTAAAGCCTGATAAATATCAATGCAGATATTACAATAGTAAGTAAATACAACATTCATTAGATCTAACAGCAGAACAAGCTAACTTTGTGACCCAGAGGAATTTCACATTACACATTAATCAGTAAGGAAAGTTCATGGTAGTAACATACAACCCAACATACACAAATTTTCAAGCTAAAGATCATTGTAGAAAAATCACCAACAGATTTTTTTTCTATAATTTTTACAATTTCTAGCCACGAATGTAAAGGAACTGAAATGATGTAAAGATATACACATTGTATAACCATAAAATCTAAAAATTTGGACAGCTTTTAGAAACGTTTATAGAATCTATTTCAAACTCGACAAGGGCATCTATGCATAATATATATGTAACCATTTCATACACAGTAAATAATCTTGAATTGTATTTTGTTAAATCATCAAAATATACTTCAAAAAATTTAAATATTGATAACTATAGCAGCAAAAAAAAAAAAACATTGAAAAAGCATGCTTAAATTAATATAAGACAACCTTGAGTATTGAATGTGTAAAATAAAAATCACAGAGATCCATGATATGGCGTATATGCATTATGCAAAAGCATAAAGTTTGGGATTACACTTGGGTAAAAGATCATGAGAAATAAATAATGAAAAGCTGACTTGAAACACAGCAAGCAGGTACAATCTTTTATGACACAAATTTTCACAAAATAATTGGAAATGACTAGAAATGACTAGAATAGCAGACTTACAAGTTGTTATTGTAAGGTAACTCTAGAACAACTAGGATATGAAGCAGAACAAATATCGAGCTTGTGTTTTTGCAAGGTAACTCCAGATCAACTAAGATATAAAGCAGACTTACAAATTGTTTTTGTGAGCAGAAGAATCTCCAACTAACAGTTTGTTTATTCTTGGTGAAGATCACTCAAATTTCAATGGGACTAAAAAAATAACTAGGAGCTGTCATTAGAATCAACACTGACGGTTACAATAACATGATATTTAAGAAAACCGAAATGGCTGACAGCACTTTAAAAGTTGACTACAGGAAGTATTAACGTGATCTTATACAGAAATTTCATGTGCTGTAAAATGGACAAGGGTGGATAGTTTACATAAAAGGAGATTTAAAGAATCATATGCAGGTTTAATACAATGAGGAATGGCTGAGAAAAATGAAACTGAAATTAAATTAAGTAGTTTTTAATTTAAAAAAAAAAAGGGCTATGTATAGGTTCACCATATGACCAAAATGTCAATAAATGCAGCAATTAAACAACCACAACATTGTTGAGACTAAAACATTTTAGCATCATCAGAAGACAACTCATGGACTAGAAGAGAAAAAAAAAGGTTTGCACTACAAAAGAAACTAGCAGCCTTAGATTATACTCTGAATGTCAACTATAAGATGTAATGAGGTCTTGTATCACTTTAAAAATCAGAGACAGAGATGGAACTAATCACCTAGAAGGAAATCCTATGCTGGCAATGGGGCACCTAGCCACATCGCCTCAAACAATTCATGTGGAAATTAATACATTTCCAACGGAATAGTACAGCAAAAAAAAAATTTCAGAAGAAAATCTCAGAAATGCCTGAAATTTTTTTCCCATGACAGAAAATAGGACTTAACATACAAAAAATAGGAAAAGTTCCATCTCTGCATTGTCTCAGTGTAGTGATCATTTCCTGCAAGCTGTTGCATCTGTTAAAATGACTACAACAAACCATACAAAGGGTGCAGATATTCACACAAACCCAATGGTTTTGTCTAATAATTCTGAACTCTATTTTAAAAAGAATAACTAATCGTAAAAGCTCATCTGGTGTTTAATGTGATCCAACTGAAATTTCCTAGAAATTGTCACCAACAGCTGTGGCTGACTTGGTAACTAGACGTGTGATAAACTTCCCTCTCTGGAACTGTCCCTGGGTTCTAATGGGCCTCGCACTTTCGGCCAATGGTGAGACTGCCCTGTTAGTTTTGACCTGAAAGTTACAATTTATTTAAAAATATGAAAAGTGAAAATACATTTTTTAAAGATTTATTAAAATCCCTATTCAAATTTAACATCATTAAAGATTAAATTTAAATTTTATATTTCTCATAAACAGAAGAGTATATTGTATATATTTAAACTCATGATTAATTAACTTTATTCCTGAATTAAAAAACAAATGCAGGAATAGAAATCAACTGTTACCGATTTCTTTTGGATTTGTCCATCATCGTTGTTTTCTTCTGCAATGGTTTGTAGTCCAGAGCGGGTGAGTGCTGGGTTTATGTACGCATAAGGTAAGCTAGCGTCATACATAGAGGGGGAGCCTGAAGGGGAGGGTGTTGGGGAGGTGTAGGAGAAGCTGTCGCCGGGTTGATACAACTGCCTGTAGGTCTGGTCGTCACTAAATATGGAGCCGTACGTCTGAAAAACAAATTCAGAAGTCTACATAACTGTTAAATCTTAGCATCATTTACTTATAATACTTCCATTTTAGTTTTATAATTGCGCTTTCAAACTAAAGAGATTGTATACATTTTTTAAACCCACTTAATACATTATCTTAATGTCGAGAAGGTAATTATTCATTTGAACAAAACATTACAGTAGAAAAAAAAATTACAGTGTTATTTTGTTGAACTGCTAGTTAGTAGAATAAATAAATACATTAAAACATTACTTTGGAAGTCGATGCTTAAATAAACTGTGACCTTACCACATCTTCGCTATATCCTGGAAAGAAATCATCTTTCTCAGACGCAGTGACATGAGGTTGAAACACCAACAGCATAACCCATATCGGCACAAGTAGTTTAATTACCTAAGTAAAGAAATCAACATGCCTTTAATGACTTGACTTTGAAAATTATACAATTACCACTATGTTATGGACTAAAACAGCAACTGAGAATTGCATTAACTGATTAACTATATTAAACACGTAAAGCTAAATGCAACTAAGAGCTTAAACCATACTAAGATAAGTTCTGACTCACCATGAGAGAGACAAGAAGAGGGGAGTAGATGACCTGCTGGTGGGACTAAAACAACAAATGTAAAATATAAGTTTATCATTACAAAGATTCAATCGCAAGAGTTTATAAAAAATACAATAGTAAAAAATCTATTATTAAAAATAATCAAAAACTTACAAAGATTGCACTGCATCCAGATTCTCTGTCACCCACTAAAGAAAAGACAGAAAATGTTTGTTAATATTATACTTCCATTAGACACTGCATGAATATTATAGTAATAAAACCTAAGAAAGTAGGCTTACACATTAGAACTGTTAGAGAATATACTTTGATATATAGCTATTTTATAAATAAATAATTAGTAATATCAGGTTTTCTGAAATGATCTAAGTAAAATTTTTTTCACATTTTAAAATAAGTATAATAAAATATTTGTTCCAATTATTAATTAACAAAGTTAACTTACAAATTTGCAGAGTCAGATCATAAACAAATGTACTCAATGCAGACAGTTCAAAGACAATTACAATACTGAAAATGAAGAGATTATCTCTGTATTACCTTAATTTTTTTTTTTTAACCAAGCATTTGCAAACAATCACCATAACCAAAATAAACCGTTTTAAAAATTAACATGTTTTCTACTCTTAACATGGAACCTAAAAAACAAAAAGAAACCCCATAACTTACCACCACAAGTCTCGTTTTTGGGACCAGCGAACAGAGCCAAGAGTGCTGATTTCATTGAGACGTCGGGTTATGTAGAATCCTGACACACTAAACAGCTGGACAACCAAGAGTTCAGCTCCAGAGAGAGCAAGCCAGTAGGGGGCTATTAAACAAAAGCCAAATAAATCTTGTATAAGTTACTTCTATCTAATGTATTAAGGTTTGAGTTTAAAAATACACACAAAAAAAAAGAAACAAAACTAAATATTAAATAAACATAACTAATAAGTCAAAATGGCAGTGGAAAATGAGCGCCATGGTTTTGAACACACAACTCACTAGATATTTTGTCCATAGTTGCACACATAAAGCAAGAAATTACTTAGATGAGTTGGATATGTGTTGATGATGTAATAAGAAAAAAATACACATACCAATACATTCCACATGGGTCGGCTCAGTGTTGAAGATTCCCAGAGAGGTAATGATAGTGAAGTACAATACAGCAATACACAGGAATGGGTACATAAATCTAATAAAGGAATAACGTTATATACATAGCAATGTGATCTCAATTGCTAGAGATTCCAAGAAAGACATTAACTCTTGTTCAGATTTTAAACTTAGTATGTGCATGCAAACTAACAATCACAATTACTTCAAAACATGCTTTTTACTATTTAGTATGTTTCTGAATGTTCAAATGTGCATTAATTGTCTGCAAGATTTATAGTCTGAAGGGGCCAACCAAAATGTAAAATAGAAACTGATTATTCAATGAGTAAAACTTGACCAAAACCAACTCACCTGTCTGCAAGATTTTCTTTCCGTAGAGCACGAATAGCCAAAGTGATATAGTAATGACACATGATAAGCACCTGAAGCAGTTTCATATACTGGAGTAAAAAATCTAGTTGAGTCACATTCCAGAATATCCAGTGTATACCCCTGTGAAGACAAATAGAAAAGTAAATCTGGCAGTTTAAGGTTCTAAATAATTTTTTAAAAGGACTGAGATGGTAGGGCATCGCTGAATCCAGTTGACTGGAAAGTGTTGTGTTAAAAATGATAGAGACTTTTTCTGTTTATAAAACAAACAATACTTTATCTGCTTTTATGGAAAGCTATGGCGTAATGGTACTATTTTCAATAAAAAAAGAATATATTAATGATTCTTTTCATAATTTTTATGAGTATACTTTAAATATGGTGTCTGATTAAACATTTAAATGTTGAACAAAGCCAAGCAACAATATTTACCCAGTTGCGCATTCAAGTGCAGCAGCATAGAAGATGACATACTGATGACACGATGGGTGATGAGCCAAATGCAGTTGTACGATCTTAACCACGCACAGAATGGATGTGAAAATGGCTAACACTGCTAAGATACAGCTCCTAAAGATTTTAACAGGTTAAAAAGTTAGGTGACAAAATTTAAAACAGCAAATGTTTAAGTACATAGGCCTAAAGACTATGATATTACTATTTTTGTTAATTTTTTTTTTTAAAAGACACATTTAATTTAATCTAAAATATCAACAGAAACTAATATCCGCCACACCTATTTCTAGTGGTAGATTATTCTAAGGAATAATTTTCAGTGATCAATGAAAATAATTACCTGACACAAGCAACAGTGTCAAAGTTCTGTAAACAGCTGTACTCCATCACATTCAAAACTGTCATGTTTGTGATATTAGGCTGCACCAATGGCTCATCCCCATCATCCTCATACATTGTAGATCCTTTCATTTTTCTTCTTTCGGTTAGTAGTTTTCCCAACAATATCTAATTTTTTACAATACTATAGGGGATGTTTGGCGAGTGGCGTGCAACTACCCTTAAGCCTAAAAAATTTGATTTTCTCTGTAACACCATAGTGCTAGATACACTTGGTCACAGCCTGAAAAGAGACATGGAACTTATACTTTTTAATTTATCAATCTCCCTAAAAATGAATTCATCAAAATTCCATAAATGATTGATAGAACTGAATGAAGTATTTGGTTAAGCTCAATTTAAAAAAGTGTAGCCTAAAATGTAAGAATATAGGCCCTATCAGAAAGCAATAAATTTTATCCTTACTCTTACTATGACAATACTTTCAAAAATGTAAAACATAAATCATCAACCTTCTTTAATGGGTAAATTAATAAATGACCAACATTTAAATAAGTAGGCCTATACAGGGCCTATATTTTGCAAATGTATGATCAATCATACTTTTAAAAAACTCATTGTTCTCATGTTATCAGTGAAACTTATGTAAGACTTGTAGGTATAACAGTAGCAGGGGATGAAATAACAGGTTAGGCCAATTAGGTTAATTCAGTGTACTTTGGTTAGATGTCTATATTTTCTGCTGCAATTTGGTAATAAAGTGAGTAAAAATACAGAGACTTTTGCTGTGCTATCATGAACAATAGGCACACTACTATTATTGTATTATACTATAACTTTGACCATAAGCTTAAAAAATACTACTGCTGAATATATCAAGATCTAGTAGTACTACAACTATGTCCTAAAGTGACCTAAAGTAAACGTGTTTTAATTTATAAAATGTCTAAACTCTAAACTCCTTTTAAAAAAATCATTAAGACCAAGAAAAGTTTAACAAGAAAAGTGTGCCATTATCAATGAGGAATGTATTATATTATCTAACAATAAATGATAATAACAGTAGTGGAATGTTTACGTTTATTTTTTAACACTTTGTCGGTTCACCCCGGTCCCAACAATCAACAAAGTGAGTCACAAGTGAGCTCACCTCACTCTCATTCTTACTTTCATTCAATCAAGCAACCATTGACATTCACTTCAGAATCAGATTGATCATCAAACCGTGAACCGTGCTGTACTCATTAAATCTATTTTAGATTTATAACTAATACGTTTATTGAATTAAGCTACAGTTAAAGGCGTGTATATTTTTAAAGAAATAATTACACCACAAATTTGTAAAGGGTTTGGCCATATTAGTACACAACACAGACATCCCTTACAAACATCAAATGCCTAATCAATTTACAATGCTAATGGCAAAGACCCGGAAGCGGAAATTATGACGCATAGGCCCTACATTTGTTTGACGTCATGTTCCCAATTTTTGTTTCGCATTCAACGTTTGATGGTAGTAATTCATTTAGAAATATTACAATGCGTTTTATTAATTATCATAAACTATACAAAGGTGAACGGTTATCTTGTCCAATTCAATTAATTTTTCCAACTTGGATAAATGCGGTTTATATTTATGGTTTTTAAATATCTACATACTTTTTTTTTCCAAATAGATCTATATAATGGCTTTTGTTACTTAAAAAATAGGCCGACCTTTTTGGTAATAATTTGCCTAGATAAGAATAGATTCTAGAACTGATTCTATCAAAATCTCGGATGAAGTTTTGAAAAATAAACAATTTATATAGAAAAAACAAAATTAAACAGCTCCTACTCACACCCTGTCCCCGAAAGTTTCAAGCGCCTCTCCCGAAAGTTTTAAGTGCCGCCCCTCCCCTCCGTCATGAATAATAATGTCTGAAAGAAACTGTTGTGTTCGCATAAACAAGTGCGTACTTTTTAAAAGTGTTATTAAACCTTACTAGCCCTAGTCCTAACTGAAGATTTACTAAACCTTACTAGCCCTAGTCCTAACTGAAGATTTACTAAACCTTACTAGCCCTAGTCCTAACTGAAGATTTACTAAACCTTACTAGCCCTAGTCCTAACTGAAGATTTACTAAACCTTACTAGCCCTAGTCCTAACTGAAGATTTACTAAACCTTACTAGCCCTAGTCCTAACTGAAGATTTACTAAACCCTATATATACTAATAATAACTGAAGCCTAGCTGGAGCCCTTATGACAACCAGTGGTGGAACTAGAAAAATTGGGCCACCCCGCAAATATTTTTTTTGGGCCCCATATATATATATATATATATATATATATATATATATATATATATATATATATATATATATATATATATATATATATATATATATATATATATATATATATATATATATATATATATATATATATATATATATATATATATATATGCCCGAAATTTGAACAAAAATTAAAAATTATTATCATTTGTGTGAGGGTTTTTTTTTTTTTTTTTTTGTTTTTTTTTTTTTTTTTTTTTTTTTTTTTTTTAAGATATTCAGTGTTTAATTACATCAAACAAATATATCAGAGTACAACAATATCACTAATAAACAACATTTTAATATGTAAATCAGAATTTGTAAATGATGAACTTATTTTAGGAGTCTAAGTAAATGAAAAGAAATGCAAGAAACTAACTTGTTATCTTCTAAAACTTGTACACATGGTGATGAAGGGAAAAAGTTATTTAGGTAATTAATTTTGCTTGGCTTTGCTAAAGGCAATCAGGAATGAATAAAAATAGTGTCTGGAAGCTCAATACATTCATATCTGAACAGTCTATGAGTGGTTTATGACTAGGATGATGTTTTAGTGGAGAAAACTTACAAGAGTTGAAATATGAATGGGTGAAACAGTGATGAATTAAAAAAGACAATACCAAAAACAACAGCAATTACAAATTTGCAAAAGATATCTAGCGTAAAATGAGACCAAATTATGTCCAATTAGAATTTTAAAAGCTTCTATTAGGAGACTAACCTATACACAATCAAATGGTAAATATTTGATATGAAAATAAAACATGTATGTAGTTCAATGGTAAGAGATAATTTTCAGGGAATGAAATTCCCATTAACTTTTTCAAATATCTTAAGTTAAGAATAAGAGTTATCAGTAGTACATTAACACACTTTTTCATATTCACACAAATGCAAATTTGAGAAAATCCTCAAACACAATAATTGACATGAAACATTTAAATATTTAGAGCTGTTTCAAACAGTCATCAATCTCTGATATTTTATCTTTCAGGGCTTGCCATTGATCTATACTGAGGCTAATACCTTTTTTTCCGGGCCGGAGTTCTCCATCTTTTTCATAATATTCTCTGATTCCTACCATTGCTTTGCCTCTGAACTCACTCACTGTGGCATACCTCATCTTAGCTAGCTGAAACATAAATTCTCCACCTGATCCTTTAGTTGGACCATCTTTTTTCTCTTCACTGCTTTTAGCTGCGCTCTTTCCTTTGGTTTCTTTGGTTGCTTCTTTTTTTCTCTGGCTTCTTTTTCTTTGGCTTAGGCTCAGAATCACCACTTCCTGAGTCTGACTCTGAAGAACTGAGATATTCTTTAGATTTAGGCATCTCAACTTCTTGCTAGCGTTTTCTTCAAGATACTGGTAATGAAACTAGACAAATCGTAAAATCCCGCGAATAGTTTTTTTTTTTTGTGAGTGCTATTAGTCTGTTTTGAATTTCTCTATTTGAATGTCTGACATAATGTTTGCTATCAAAAGAATATGAAGCACGAAAGCTTTGTATGTGTAATGGTTTCTCGGTTTATGTTTATTTTGAAGTTTATTTGTGTTTATATTATTAGTTTTTTTTATACTTTTCCTTTTTATACTATGTCATTTGTTATTATGTATTTTAAAAAAATAATATTTTAAGAGAAGTAATAATTGCTTCTTAATTTGTTTAGTGCAAATCTATTTAAAGTTTCTTAAGAACACACATTTTTGACTATTTAAAAAAGGGAAATAAGTCATGGAAGTGGTTTGAACGTTTGCATATCGTTCACACTACAACTCATGTAGCCTATATTTTTTTTTCCTTTACGAAACAGCGTGTGTTAGCTACTGTAGAACATCACTACTGTAGTAGATCTGTTGTTTCTTTTTTACAAGAAAATTATTTTTTAACTATTAAAAAATGGATTATGGTGGGCTGATGGCCCCTAAACGGCCTGGGCCCCCCGCATTGCGGGGTCTGGCGGCACTGTAGTTCCGCCCCTGATGACAACATTTATGTCCTACCGTTAGCGAGATTGAAAGCGGCTTGATGTAAAGCCTTAATGTAAACAGATTTTCAATTATTTGCTTATAGTTATAGCGTAACCTACCAGCCTAACGCCATCCAAAGAATTTCATTGGAAGCTGTTAATGCTTTCATCAACATCATTCCTGATTATCCATTGTGGAGCAACGGGACGAACCCACACCTCTCCATCAAACTATCAAACTCGGGTTTGATCGATTCCTCCAATGTTGAGGGTCCATGACATTCCAGCTGCTTGGTCTTCATCGACAACTGATCAGAGTTTCGTTTCTTTCAGGCATCACGTCGCCCCGACCCTCCTCCCGAAAATATAGTCCCCCCACCCACCAAATTTCATATGTTGAACATCAACTTATAAACAAACAAATTATCTCTTCTTTATAGGTGTAAATCGTGTCTTCAAACCTGAGGCGTCGCGAGGCGGGGGCGGGGTGGTGTGGACCGCACCGGGTGACACCATTTAGAGGGAGGTGTGACACCAAGACAAATAAAATTGCAAGATTTATAAAATAAATATGTTTTTTTTTGCCAGTTTCAAAAAATGATTAATTATAATTAAAAAAAATATTTCAAGTACGTAATGACGATCCCTGCAAGGGAAGGGGGAGGGGGGAAGGTGACACCAAGACTTAAACATGCAAACTATAGAGAAAACAATGGTACACACAGCTGCATTAACAACTGATTATAGATAAACATTTTAGTATTACATGTGAACACTGTAAAGCTTTTATCGAGAGGGGGGTGGGGAAGGGTGTGACAACCACTGCAACATTTACACAGACAAATAAAAGGGGGAGGTGTGACACCATGATGTGGCGCACCTTGTGATACCCGACCTAGCGACGCCACTGCTTCACACATGCTATTTAATCGCACTTACGTAGATATAGCTGCCGCTTTGGCTGCAATAGACTCCACTGTTCCCCTGTGCCATAATACACAATATGTTGGGTTTACTCAGCAAGCGGTACTTGAATACGCCTACACTTAAATTTTATTTTAGTTTCTTTTTTCCTGTTTCGTAGTGTAGGCTATTTATAGACCAGTAGGGAAGAAACATTACGTGTGTGTGGGGGAGGGGGGGGGGAGATGTGTGTGGATTTCGAATGGTCAATAGGGGTCGGCGTGGTCGAGTCGGTAAAGCTCATGGTTGCTAAACCGAAAAGTCTCGAGTTCGAACCCTCGGGCAGATGAGGCTCGTTAGCTGGGGACAGCCACTCTTCTAGGAGAGACAACTCCAAAATTAAACAACTGCTGCCTTGTAGTTTGTTCTTGGTTGGACAAAGGCTATGGAAGCAAATCCAAAAAGAAAAGCAGGCTGAAATCGGAGTCAATGGCGCATAACCAGTTGACACGTAACGCTTAATTGTGTTGGAGGCGTGGTCGAGTCGGCAAAAAGCTCATGGTTGATAAATTCGAACAAAGTCTCGAGTTCAAACCCACTAGCAGATAAATCTCGATCCCCTTCAACACTAATAATTAAGAACGAAGAAGAAGAAGAATGGTCTATTCTGTTATAGTGAACAGTTATTCATCTTATTTTTTCCAGTTCGTGCCCAATACTTATTAGCAAATGAAGTTCATTCGTCTCAATGATTTCGGCATACCTGGTGATGGTGTAGTCAGCATTTCGTCTAACCGCGTTAGTTTCCACATTGTGAGTCAAGAACACATCAAAGCTAGGTGGTAGTAGGGGAGACTATAGATTCGAGCCCGGGAGCTTTACAGGCCGGGATCAGAACTAGAGACTGTGGGGTTAGCTGCCGTAAGCACTACCATCCGACCACGCCGATCCACATTTATTGAGAACATAAAATAAAAAAATTCCCTATTTTGATTGGAATCAAAGGCATTGAAAACAGTGAGACATGCGCCCGGACGTCAGTTATGCTCTGACCACTAAAGACTCGTTGGCTATGTAACTACACACACATACACACACTCACGCACGCACGCGCACGCACACACATACACACACATGCACGCACACACATATATTTGTATATATGCTAACAACTATAACCACACACTTCCCCCAAGTGGTATAGGCTAGGGCCGACAATGCAA